ACCCCATCACAGGCAGAGGGGGAACTGCCCTGTGAAACAGGTTCATTTCCGCGTGGCACCTAAAGCAGGAGTCTTGTACTTTGGCGAGGTGGCATGGGTAGTAATTTTAGAAATTCCAGTGGGAATAGTTTCGTTTCAATTTCTTAAATTTCTTCTGAAGTTTTAACTGGACATATTCATTTCACTGCCTGCCCTGGCAGGATATACCTCATATCTGGGCATGTTCTTCCCATTTCATACACACATCCCTTTGTGTGTGTGCAGTGGAAAACACTGATAGCTTCAAGTATGGAGGTACCTGTCTACATAAATCAGGGTTTCCACATACAAAGACAATTGGAAAAAATGTAGAAAGTATATGTAAAAAATATGACCGTCATTAAACTTGGTCCACCTCACAACCTGCACGTGCAGGACACTGCATGCTGGAATCTTCACACCTGCGTAGCTGACAGCTTTGATTATTTTTGCTACTGAAACCAAGCCAACCTGTTCTCTAAGATCATGCTTTAGTTGCAGGTCAGCAAGCTTCAGAATTAGATTAGAGTGGAAAAGAGGAAAAAGTGATATGTCCGTAGTTAAAGCACTGGATCAAGTTCTGCTGGCTCAGCACTATGCCGGTATAAACTCTCAGTCCTCAGCCTTCCAGCCCTGGCCACCATACAGATTCTTCCCTTTTTTTGAAGCTTCTCTTTAGCAGTCTGTTCAGCAAAACAGAACATGAGATATAAAATTACCTTTTACTATCTACAAAGAGTGGTCTTCCGGATATTTTTTTAATATGTACATTATTTCAGAAATTATTCTATAAATTGCTTTAAAGTCATAGAGAAGGTATTAAAGTTGTTCTTTTCACTGCTCTTGGGCACTTCTAAATGTTTGTCAAGGCCACAAACCTCTCAGAAGAGAAAGAAATCCCTTGGCATTGAAGACTGCAAATATCATCTGTTAGTTTAAGAAAAGATGTGCACATTGGATTCGTGTGCACAAAGACTGTGATCCATTCAATCCCTATCACAGACACAAGGGATTGCTCTATATCTCCTTACACCACTGTGCTGAGCTAGAAGAGTGAGTCAGTTCTGAAGCACTGGCTATGACGTGCTTTTTGCTCAATGAGAGTGGATTATCCATTGTGCTTAGTGTGTTTCAACAAGATGAATTAATTTTCTGCTGAAGATTCAAAGCCCAGTATAATGACCTTCAAACTGAGCTCAAGCCTTAAGATTTTCCCAATAAATTCCTTGGAATCTGCCGAGTCACCATCCCCGGAGGTATTCAGGGGCCGTGTAGATGTAGCACTTACAGCATGGTTTAGCAGTGGACTTGTCAGTACTAGGTTAAATGTCAGACTGGATGATCTTAGACTTCTCTTCCAACCTGAAAGATTTGATGATTTGAATTCCACCCACCCTTTTTGCCTTCTACCTGACAGCTTCTGAACTCCCTTTTGTGCCACGAATACCCCCAGGTCACCTTCCACAGAAGAAAAAGAGAAGAGATGACAGGGCCTTCATGGTTACTCTCTCTTATTACAGCAGAATTCCTTGGGGATGTTCAAGCAATCTTAATTGATTAACCAATAAACCATTTTCCTCTTGATTCATTCTGACTATATTAAATATTAATAATTTCTCAGTCTTGAGCAAGTCACTCTGCACTGGTTGAGCACTATCAGTCCATTTTACAGTCATCTGCCATTCAGAATCTACTCTTGTATTTTTCAAAGATAGTAAGCAATCACAAAGTCCACCTAACTGGCTGCAACCCAAACTGCAGACCACATATTTCATCACTTCCTCTGTTTTCCCTTCTCCCATGATGGTTATACTGGGTCACTGATGTTTGGCTCCCTCTTGGCTCTTTGAAGGCTGAAATAGATAAATTACATGGGGGCACCACAAAACATGCAACCCTCCCCCCCCTTGTTTTGCTCCAATTAATTAATTTCGCTGGAATTTCAAGGCAGTGCCTTACCTCTGAGGAACCTGTGCACATGCAAGGCCTTACCTTAGAATATGGGGAGTCCCAGGCTATGATGCAGTAGCAGTGTTCTGCAGCAGTCGTACAAAGGCAGATTTGCTGCTACCTAAAATGTTTTGTGTATTTGCTGCTGCACGGTACCTTACTACATGCTGGCTCTTAGCGTCCCATGGGCACTTAGGACAGAACAGCTCACACCAAGAGAATGAGATAAATGTGAGAGCTTCCGAGGAGTTACCTGCACCACAGAAGCCTGAAGACATTTGTGTACAGCCACAGAAGTACCCCGGTGTTGCTCAAGCACTGCTACCACTGTAAGAGTTGGAATTTTGGAAGGCAGTGCTTGCCTCTAGAGTCAGCTGGTAGACAGCAGAGATGGAAACTGCATTTGTGATGCTCAAACAAGACTTCACCACAAAGTTCCAGGAATGTTCCCGCAGCACGCCGTGACTCCTGGCTAACTCACCGCTCATGGTCTGCTTGTGCAGCACCGTTTCAGGCACACGGCTTCTAGCCGTGGCTCGCGGAACAGCCTTCTCAAATGACCAGCTGTGTTTTGCTTCCCTACATCGCCTGCAGCTTTGGTTTGGTATTGGGCAGCTTTTCACCACCTCTGCCGCAGCCTTGCCTCCGTGCTTCATCCCACCACTGGATGCATTTTGCAGGGGATTTAGCTGCAGAGAGGTAAATCCAGGGTGCTGAATTTCTTGCAAAGGAAAGATAACATCTCGGAGACTGCTTCAGTGAGCTAAAGGAAATAAATGAATGGGGTAGTGGCAACAAAAGTGAAACACCTACTTAACTGAAAAATCATTTCAGTCTTTTTCTGCAGTTAATTAAGTACTGAGGAAAATGGATGTAGAAAGCACATTTTAAAGCAATCAAGTACTGCCAGAAATCAAACCAGCAATTTGAAAAGAGAACAACACTGCTCTCTGGCATCTGACAAAATAAGATATTTGACAGGGAACAATATGTGCAGTACTGGTTAATTGAGAGGTGAGGAGAAGAATAATCATAGATGCATTATTGCATTTATAGAAGTGTCTCCAGCATGCCACAGGGACTATGCAGGTTTGTGGAATCCTCCTGCCTGCTACAGCAAGCCAGAAATCTCTTACATTCCCATCCATATTTTTACCGTGTACCCTCGGCAGCAATGCAGAAATAGCAACTGTGTTGGCTGAAAATAAGAGACTTGCCTTTAAAAGGACCATAAGCACAGATTTCCTCAGCTAGTGAAGACATAAGAAAGAAGAGGGAGAGAAATCTTCATTAGAGTTTGCTCTGTCCACAGCACCCTTTGCTAGAGCTCCTCAAAGCACTGTACAGCCCTTCACCAGGTCTTGTGGAAGGGAACACAGCTATTTCTCTGCCAGTCCTGCAGCTGGTTAGGTTGAGTGTGTTTTCAAAGTGTCAACATTAAAATAAAGGCAAGACTTTACATCTCCCTCCTTTGGCTCAGAGCTGTAGCCAAATGCAGCGTCAATTCTACCTATGAACTTATCTATGTTTTAAAGGATGATGCTCTCTACAGCTACCTGAAATAAAGGTGTGGGGAGCTGGGGTCGGCCTCTTCTTGCAGACAACCAGTGATAGGACTAGAGGGAATGGTCTCAAGTTCCACCAATGGAGGTTCAGGTTGGAAATGAGGAGACATTTCTTCTCAGAAAGAGCAGTCAGGCACTGGGACCAGTTGCCCAGGGAGGCGGTGGAGTCACCGTCCCTGTGGGTGTTCAAGGAGAGGCTCGATGTGGTGCTTAGGGGGTGATGTTGGTGGTAGGGGGATGGTTGGGCCAGATGGTCTTGGAGGGCTTTCCCCAGATAAAATTAGTAATTTCCTACTCCTCTCTTTTGCCTCTGAAAGCAGTAATCTGATGTGGATACAGACTTCACAAAAAAGTTAATTTTCCTTCACAAACTCAGCGGCATTTGCGCTGCATTTCCTATGGCAGCCAGCAGGCCTCCAGCGAAAGGATTCTGAAACACCACTCAGTGCTGGGAGCACATTTTCACTCAGCTTTCATCTATTTCGTTTATGAGATGTGATGGTAGAAAAGCAAAACACTGAAAGCTGCTGATCTTTCCGTGCACCCATCAATCATCACTGCATTCACCTAAGTATCTTAATAGCTGAAGTGTGAAGAGTGCACGGTCTGTCTGCTGTTAAAAAAGCTTCAAGGGAGACAAATAATGCAAAAAACTGAGCAGATTTAGGTACTCTATAGCTCAATCCTGTTTTTCTAAGTTCCATCTAAGTTCTGATTTTACACTGAAATAAGCGTTTGGGTGTGCACGTACCTGGCTGCAGATCTGCACGATCATGGCTGTGTGTGAGGTATCTGTCTCATTACTGGATTCATTTATGTACCAGGCTGTATTTTAAGCAAGTTCACATTGCCTTTGAACACTGCCAGCCCATTTCCACAGTAGTCTACTGCGTGTTCAATTGTCAACATCTTCCAAGAAGCTCAAACAGCTGTTTTGAATTACTGCTGGGGTTGGCTGGTTGTTTTTCAGAAGATTGCTGGCAGCCTTATTATAATTTGTGGCTATTTAGGATAAGGTGACAAAAGCAGAAGGAAGGGGAATCATTTTAAGGGTTAGCTGAGATCTCCAACAGCAGGAACAAGGACCAGCAGCTGAAACCAGTTCTCGGACAGATTTGGGGTGTTCTCACCAAAAAGAGGTGGCACCTGGTCTATGGTGCGATGCTATGTTCCATACTGTACAGAGGGGTTACATCTTTCTGCTGCATTTTTCTGTCTAAAAGGAAGTCGTCTGCAACTTACAGTGCAAAGACAATCCTCATTAGATGTATGTTGCACTTTCCTCTGTCGTTGCCTTCAGGTTTTAGGAAGGAAGGAAGCCGGTGCTTCGGAAAGCAGCATGAGCCCATGTTCTGTCAATGGGATCTGGTCCTGCCATCTCCTTTAATGGGTTTCTTTCATTAACCAGGTGAAACGGAGAAGAATAGTTGAGAGTCTGAAGAGAGAGCTGAACATTACAGATCAGCCAGGCCCGTCCGTCAACTGCAACCACACACAGCAAAAGGACAGCGGCATTCCTGCAGCGGGCCTTCAGCCTCCAGCTCTTGGTGCTTCAGACAGCGTTGGAAATTAGTTAGGGCATCCAGGTAGTTTAGATAAACACCAAATACAATGTAAACCTTGGGCAAACAGGAAAATGAGGAAGAGATCCAGCAAATGCATCTGCCTGAGACATAGCATGGTCAGGTTACCATGCTCAGAACAGTGCCAGAGCACCAAGGAGGGCATTTTTACAGAGATTTTCACAATCCAAATAGAAAGCCAGATGCAAGTGCCCTCTCATTAGTTACTGACAGCTGACACCAACACTTCCTGTGCAATCCTCTTCCTAGAAAGCCCGATGAGGCATTTTGATTTTTTCCTACCACACACTTGATTTACAAATAAGTTGGAAATTAAGTTTTAGATACAGTTTTCAAAACCTTACATGAATTGTGACCTAAAGTCTCACTGGTTTACAATAGCATGTAGAATAGTAAGTCCCATTTTCAAGTGCTTTAGGTATTAATCTGAGTAATTTCTCATAAAACCTTAACCTTTATTAGCTCATATGCACAAACCTAAGATTAGCTAGTACTACAGTAGATACCAGTAACTGTGAACAAACAAACATTGTGATCTTTCAAAATGTAAGGTTCACATTTAAAAGAATCTACAGGCTCGTAAAATACAAACATGGCCAAATAGGAAAATATGTAATTACAAAAGCCTCAATCCTTTCTTTAGTGATATTTACTTCATTATAACTTAGTTGTTTAAACTTCTCTGGTCAAGATTAGGCAGCTTTCTAAACATAGATTTTTTTTCCACACTCTTCTCCAAGTGGGACACTTTTCAAGGCATCAGATGAAAATAGAAAAAGATTGGGATAAATAAAACACTCCAGTGTTGTCTTTTTTTCTATTGTCTGTTAGCAATGCATTTTCCTACTCCTGCTTCTACCTCAAAATCTGCTTTGTAACGAAGTTATTTAAAAAAAAAATGCTATAATTCTTTGCACAATCCCTAAACACTTTGAATATACAAAGCTTTATCTGAAATAATTGAACATTTTATGAGCAGCTCTGTTGGTACACTGACAGACGCTGAGGCAATCAAAATGCGTTCTTTAAGCTGGGCCTCTTTCAGGCTCCCTTGAAGATGCCTCTAGGCAAACAGCCACAAGGAATTGTTTTAATTACCTAATATCTAGGTTCAGAAACAAGTGGAGAAGCTTAAGAAAAAGCCACAAGATCTACTGATCTGATGCCAGCCGTAAGTGTACCTAGTTACTGAAGGATAACTTGATGTTTTTGTTCCTTTTAACTAGATGGAATATTTTGGTCTGTTATCATTAGGCTCATTTGAGACAAATGTTGAATTTCTTTAAAGATCTTTCAGTTAAACTGATGAGAAAAGCAATTTGTTCTCATAAACCGTATTGTAGCAGGCAATGCTGTCAGCAAGGCAAAAAGCTGGTTTATACATGTTTGTAAGAGAAGAACACCAAGTGGAACACTGACACAGCTTGGAGCAGAACCTTGTCTTCGTATCATTAGGGAAAAAGCACTCATATTTTGAAGTTCACCTTGGAACAAAAATATTTTACTTTAAAATTAAGAAACTTCTTTCAAGGAGTAGAAAACACTGATACTGACCTATGTTGAAAGAAGAAGTGACACCTTTCTGATGGAAGAACAACATGAGAAGGCTCCTCTGCTGCACAACTTGAAGTCTCAGAGGACTATTGCTCATGTAGAGCAGCTTGGTTTTCCTAATACTTGGGTAGGCAAGCATAAGCAAGATGAATTATTGGAAAAGTAATTTCTCTTCAGTTGGATAATGACTGATTTAGTTGATGTAACCCTCTTCTGTGCAGAATTACTCTGAGCTACTGAGCAAGCCCAATTAGATCTCTGAAATCAACAAGCACAAGCTTGCTGTGCTGAGCTTATTTGTAATGAATCATCGTAAATTCAAGTGCACAGTCATAAACTAGACAAATTTATTTTCTTACATTGATGATACCAGAATTTTAGATGGTATTTCCAGCTAAATTATTGCTATCCTTACCTTCTTTTAGGATATAAACTAGGATTTTTCTCAAATGAAAAGGGACCAACTCAAGGCTTTACATGCAACTATTTCTTGACACCTGACCATTTCTCCAACACATCCACTCCTGTTTCATCAATTACAAGTCAGCTACCTGCAATCATTTCCATATAAAATAACACATTTGAGGATAAGGATTTTAAGGGTAAAGGGTGACTTCCTGCAGAGAATCAGCAGGCAGCCACTGCTCCTAGAAGGAGCACTGCTTGTCGTCACGATGTCCTTCGTGGCTAGGTACACAGCTCCCACCCCAGCTTGCTGGGGATTGCTGGCTGGCCAAGGGCCAATTTGCAGAGGTGAAGATTATCGTTGTAACATCTTCAGCTACAGCCAAAGCCAGAGCATAGTGGGCAGTATGGAGAGATGGACTGGCAGATACTTAATTTCAGGGAAAATAGCTTTGTTTGGAGCAGGGTTCCTCTCTGCACACTGTTATTCTACCTGGAAGAAGGGGTACCAAGAACACAGTGGACTGAACCTGTGCACTCCAGCCTCTGTCTGGTTATATATATGCTTTTGCAGTTACAAAGTCAGTGCCTCATTATAAAACCTCTAATAGTGTTTGCCTCCTTTTTCCTGGAACCTAATAGATTGAGAGATGCTCAGGTGAGTTTAATTTCCATTTGCAAATCATCATTCTGTACACAGAACAAATGGTATCAATGATCTACAAGGCAACGTGTAGTCCACTTTTTGGCTTAATAGTTTAATTTTATAGCAGGTTTATGTACAATTCTTCACAGAAAATTCAAAGAAGATCTGTTCCTTCAGTATCGTTCCACAACTTTTAGTGACTTGATATTACTAAATATTCAAGAACAAGATCTGAAGATTATTGTTAATCATTCGATAAGAGAAAATAGTGTCCTCCATATAGGTCTGGTATTTCCATGACAAACTGTTTTTCGTCATCAGTTGTTCTGCATGGTAATTAAATTGAAAGAAATGTACAGCACCTTACAATTTTCTTGTTTTTCATCTTGCTTGGGTAGTGCTTGTTCATTTAGGGAATTTTTGGCTTTGTGAATCATACAAGTCTCCCTAGTATCGTCAGAGACAATGCTTGTGGATTGCTTCTACGGGCAAAGTGGTGACCTTGAAGTAGATTTCAGTGCTGGAAGAGCTGTCCCTGCTTGGGGCTGCTGTTCACCATTTACCTGCAACACAAACATAAGTGTTTTGTTTCACTTGTAATGGTAAATTGGTAGCTTTCTGCAGTAAGTCAAAAGGCTCATTGCAAAAATCTAACTATTGGGAATTTGAAAAAAAAGCGCACATGCACAATAACAACAACACAAAATATTTTGAAGACATTTCTCACTTGAATATACAATGCAGTGAGACTTAACATCACTTGTTTTGCTGATGGGTAAGATGGAGTATCTCCTACACAGCTGGCAAGCTATTTGCTAGGAGCAGAAACAAAGCTTAACCAGGGAACAGACAGTACCCTTAGCGTGTTTATGAAGGTACCAGGTATTGCAGAGATCTGTATTTCATTTCCTCTGCACGTATTCTGCAAACATAAAACAGTTCTCACATTTTTACTGCCATTTGAACAGAAACCACTGCTTTCACATTTAGCTGATATGCAAAGCACTCAAATTCTACATTAAGTCTACATACAAAAGTGAGTAAATGTGTATGAAAATGACAGAGGCCACATTTTAAACACCTTGAGAAGTTTGCAACAGTTTGAATCTGGGTGTCTGAAATGAAGTATATATAAGTACCTGTCAGAGAAGAGAAGGAAACCAAACCTATTTCACTTTGAAATAAGACTCAATATTTACTGTGTTAATATAAAGCATGAAGCAACAGATTTTGATAGTTTCCACAAATGATGAAACAATACTCTGAACAATTCCTCCAGAAATTCCCAGATGTTCATGGATTTGAAGTAAAACCAACCCATATATCTCCAGCAGTGTCCAAGAGAGAAGTTGGACACAAATTCCAGGAACTGGTGATTCTGTGTATTTATACTTGTGGGAAAAAAAAAAAAAAAAAAACAAATCCTGAAACCTTAATTTCTCCAACGTAGTTAAAAATCAGGCATAGCTTGTCCTTAGAGCCAGATAAACACAAGTTTAGGCAAAGAGAAGGACTGTTTGGGAATACCTCCCCCTAGTTAAATTAAAAACCATTTATTACTGATTGCTTTTAACTTGCTGTAGCCTTGACTATGGTCAGTGAGAGCCTCCACCTAGCTTATGCTCTGACAGCAGGTAATTACTCTGCAACTTCCTGAAACTAAGGTTTCCTTTCTTTTTGCACTATAGAGTTGTTTTGGTTGTGTGTTTTTTTTTGTTTTTTCCTCCAACAAACATGCTCCATTTGTTTCTAAGGTTATAGGAAAATGTATATAAATGAGTGTAAATAAAGCTTATTGGCATCACTTAAAGAACTAATAAACCACAGGCCTTCAGGCAGTACCTGTGAGAAGCAGCATGTTTTGACAAGCAGGGTAATTCACCCTGAAACATGCACGCATGCAGGGGATACACTCTCACTTTAATATATGGATTTCCTAACACTACAGCTCAAAACAAATTATGGCTCTGATCTGAGAGGTCATTCTAATGATGCTTTCTGGCCTCAAAACCTATACATCTACTAATGTATATAATCATAGAATGGTTTGGGTTGGAAGGAACCTTAAAAGGTCATCTAGTCCAATTCCCCTGCCATGGACAAGAACATCTTTCACTAGATCAGGTTGCTCAAAGCCCCGTCTATGTGGCTTTTGCTTTTACTTTTGGTATCTTGCCAACATGCTTAATGTGCTAACAGAAAATAATTCAATTAAAAAAAAACAAAACTGTATTTATCCTTTATGACTTCGTATTTAGTTGTGTGGCAGACTCCTCTGATTGCCTAGAAAATATTTTTGTGTAACGTGGCACATTGGAAGGATTTGTATCTACTGGCAAACTTCTGTGCAGCTGTCAGGTAAAGAAGTACCGATAGATGGTAACATCTCAAGTTCTCATTGCTCAGCTTTAAGATAGTGCAGTTAACAACTTTGGAGAAGATATCAGACAACAAAGGTTTATTTCTGTTCTGAAGCTGGAACATTTTCAATAACCTGTAAAGCATTTTCATTGGCTTAGAAAGAATGTCCTACTCTGATGTACCGTGAAATACGCTGTAGTGTCATGTTACCAAAAATGCTTCAAACTTCATGTAAACTTCACTTACTGAACTTTTTTTTTTTTTTTTTTAATAAAATCATCCTTCAAAACTTAACTCAGTTGTATTTATGTTGGTAACCTCAAAATCTGGTAATCACTTACATTAAAGTTAGCTCCTTTATCATCTAAATGTTCCCAATTTACATGTTTAACAGCCACTCAAACATCTGTAGTGATTTTATAGCATTCAGAATGAGGAATTTCAAGAAAAGCTGTGAGCAGAAAAATATAATCCTCATCTCTGACTCCCAAAGGTTCTTTTGCTGATTTTTTTTTCTGAAACCTAAGAAATTACAGTAAAATGAGTATCTGGCCTTAAATATCCATCAAAAGAAACTGAAAATATACGTGTATTTCATTTACATTTCCCAACGAAGTCAAAAACTACATCACAGGAACAATTTGCAGGATGCTAGCATGGTCAAGAGCTCTACCGCATTTGAATGATTCAATATTTATGATCTTAACTTCACTGTACTGCTAAGAAATTTAAAGAATGATGATATATCCTCAAACTTACCTGGCAAGATGAATAAACTTAGTGAACATATTGGCTTTCCCCATGGCCTTCATGTACAGATATTTATTTTTTTTTAAATTACCTTTTGTGATTTGCTGCCACCAGGTGTCGAACAGGAGCGCTCACTGAGATTCTGATCCTTCTGTAAGTCTTGTGTCTGTAAGAGGAATTTCTCACTTGGGGAACCCACACGAGGACTGGTCCCTAGATTTAGGGTTGTTCTGCGTAAAATGTAAGGAGTAACCTTTCCAGTAGGGATATCAGCAAACCCTGGAAAATGAACAGCTTCTATTAAACACAGCTAAATAAGTTACACTTTCTCGAATAAATGTATTTTGTGTTGTTTTTTTTTTCCCCCTCTTCACACTGGGGATAAAAACACTTGATTAAAATAAATAATTTATTCTCCTGAAGATCAAAAAGATTACTGAATAGATCTTCTGTATTCCAAATTCCATATGCAAGCCCTGAAAACTGCAGGCAAGGTACAACAGTAATTCTATAGTAAAGTTTTTCAAACAAGTTCTTGGTCTTTTTTTTTCCCCATAGGCACATCATCATCCGGAGAATAATTTCAGTTTGAAAACACACGTATTGTTTTACTAGAATTCATTAAGAACACAATACCACACTACAACATTCTTGGTTTTTCCTATTTTCTCCATGTAGAACTATACTGTCACAGATTCTGTTAGAACTACACTATTATAGATCCTCCATTACCTCTCTATCTAGCCTAGAAGTCAAAAACTAACTGGCACGTGTCCTCAGAACAGGTACATTTCCAGAAAAATACTGATGCTTGTAAGAAAACAAAATGCAACTGATGTATAAACTAAGAATTCCTGACTTCTGGAGTGATCACTGAAGCTGAGGCGACTCAGTACCTCTGCAGCTTGTCCAGCAATTACAACTGCATTTATTACGGAGGCACCTCACCAGTAGTCTGCATCTATTCTCTTGTAAGTTTGTTACTAGCCCACAGAATAGTTTTAAATGACTAGAACAAGTCACCTTCCAGCAAAACTTTGTTGCTACTAACATATCACACGCTTAGTGTCTAATAGGTGTGCCACCAGAAACTACAAAGTTGTGACTGCCAGGATCATTTAACTACAATTAAATTGGCAGTAATGTAAATGTATTAAAACGGTCTAACGGCACAGTTCCACAGGTGCTGAATTGGCATTAAATGGCACAGCTCCCACTGGCTGCATTCACCTTCCATCACTGTCACCAAAAATGTTTCACATAGTCACCTACTTACCCGGATTAAAACTAATTCAGCTGAAACAGGAAAAAAAAAGTGAGAGAGAGAGAACACCTGCTATGGTGATAGAACATTTGCCTTCACCAAAAATTCTAAATACCTTTTCTCACTACTTCTGGAAGCCCGTCCGGCTCACAGTCTGAGTTCTCCTGACACGGCAAGTTTTGACAGATAGAATCCTTCCTTTCTTTTTTTGATGAAGGCTCTGGCATAGGGGATCTTGGTTCTCCATTCTCCTTCCAGGTGTCTTCAGACCTCTGCCTTTTACTTGAAAGCTCAGCAGAATCTTCATCTCTTGGATCAGACTGATTGCTCACTGTTGATAAGTTGCCTGAACTCAGCAAAGGGCTGCTGACAGCATCTCTCATTGGCTGCTTCAGCTGACTGCTCAACAAAGTGACTTGTGTTTCTAGCATCTCGTTTACTTGCTCTAGTTTATAATATTTAACAATCAGAGAGGAGTATTTCTCCAAGTTCTCATTTGCCTCTCTGGTTTTCTCTTCTACAGATTCCTGTAATTCTTCCAGTTTTAACTTAATTTCTTCTGTAATGGCATTCTCATCAGCACCTTTCAAAGCAAAGTACCGTTGTTAATATAACTACTTAAAATAAGGATGAATGTAAAAGAATTTATAACACAATGATCACAGATCTTTTAATTAATTACACATGCTCCACAACTGTACAAGAACAAAAGTAAGTGACAGGATATACCAATATCAGTGAAATGTTATACACTACAGTGGTTTGCTAAGTAGTAAAAAAACATGCCAAATTTGAAAAGAATCCTTGATTAGCGCATGGACAAACATTTCCTATGTCATTTTGTAACTTCACAATACTTGATTTTGCAACCCTAAATTTGCTTAAGCATCATTTACAACAGTGTTCATCTCATGCAGTGAACTTTAAAGGAAACAAGGGAACAGGAGTCAGAGGGGAAAGGTAGGGGAAAAATGACAAATATTGTTATCTTGTTAATCTTGTTAAAAAAAATGCTTCTCCCTTTTCCCTTAAGCCACTTTTGACCAAAACAATGTAATATTTAATATATATTCATAATCCATGGTTGCTTCTGATACTTTGAGATAAAGGAGATGAACTACATTTTCAAAACATCTGACATATTTGCGGTGGTACTTACTTGTGCTAATTAAAAATCATGCTCTGTATTGCATATGCAAATGGACATTCTAGGAAAAAAAAGTTTTGCCAACTAATTCATTGCTAGAAAAGCATTAAGACTGAATCTAGCTTCAGTTACCTTCTTTCTCTGACACATTTAGATCTTTCTTCTTTAACATTTCTTCGCATTTTGTTAGTTGTTGCTGCAACCGTTCCTTTTCCTTTTCCATATGCTTACAGGATTTCATCCACAGCTGCACTTTACTCGCTGCAAGTTTATTTTGCTTCCTTAGTTGAACTATAATATTGCCATTATTAATCTACAAATAAAAAATACAGTTGTTATACCAGAAGCACAATTTTTCTGTTTAAACAACACACTATCAAATGGAATCTCCTCAACTGCTATGTAATATTAGTTGTAGACCATGGAGGTAATGTAGATTTGTTTGCTTGCTTCTGTACAACCTCATTATAGCTGCCCCTTTATCCCAGACACAGGAAAATCCTTTTACTGGACAGATATGTACGTGAGATTAACTATACAGAAAAACCCAGGGTCTGACACAACAGTCCGTCCATTTGCTACCTGTTATCCCAGCACTGAGGCATGCTAGGTAATGTATTTCAAATCAATATTCTGAATTGTAAAGCACTCTCCTCCTAGTTTGAGTTTCGTTGGTCTTCTTTTTGTCCCTACTGCATCTCACTACCTCAGAATCAAGAAAACCCAGGCCTGCTTTGCACTCTCAATCTCAGCTCAGAAGTACCATTCTGAGCAGCAGCACACCAGTCCTGGCTATCCACTCCCACACTCCTGGACTGCTCCCTGCTCTGAAGCGAAGCTGGGTGCAAATGCCACAGCAAGCACAGCTGGAAGCCTCCTATCATAGTTACAGTGCCATGGGTACCACGCTTTGTCACCAGTACACATCCTGGAGTTTCCTATCAGCACCTTGTTCGTATTAAGCAGAATAATTAACAACTAACACTACACTGGACATCCTTATTGAATACGGAACTTTTAAGCAAGGGGAACATATTGTAATTCAGCATTTAATTGCAAATATGCTGAATCGATCACTTATCTTCAAGAGCTCTTTTAGAGAGAGAGAGAGAGAAACTCATTTCTGAAGTGGAAGCACAACATTGAAAGCCAGCAACCAATCCCAGACAGCAGCAGGACAAATAACGAAGATAAGAAAAACACAGGGAAAATTAATAACCGGAATTCCAGCTACAGGGACAGTTAAACTTCACCTGTGCTACTAGAAGCCAACCAAGCACACCTAGAACTGTTCTCGAGCTATTAGTTGTTCACAGAAAGTGGAGCTCCAATTCTACCACCATTGAGTTCAATCATTCACAGGACACTAGTTAATCATTTTAATGAGAATTCTGTATCAAATGGAGTCGATAAACTCTCAAAATCAAGAGCAAAGCATCAAGACACGCTTAAGACAGAACATGGTATCATTTATCATTGACGTAATTCACAAACAGAAAACAGAGGCATTGCAAAGCCACTTTTGACTGCAGTCTAACCATGTAATAACCAAGTCGAGATGTTCAGTGGAGACAACAGACGGCTGTGCTTCGCATCACAAACCACTTGTAGGTGCTCTAAGTCGTGGCATGCATAACAAAATTTTTCTAATGTAGATCAATAGTAACAACATTTCCTCCGTGCTCTGTGCTCTCATTAGTGAAACAAAGGCTGTATATTAAAGTCAAACCAAATCTCTGGAGCACAGATTCCTACATTTATATTAATGTACTCTACTTTAATGCTTCAATATTTTTTTCTTACCTGAAGATTTAGGAGCTCTCCTAAAGTCTGATTAGCTAGTTTAAGAGAATTATTTAATTCTTCATTAGCTGACATCAATTGCTCAAGTTCCAATTTTTGTGAGCTGTTAAAGAGCCCTAATGAATTCATCTTATCTTGACAGGCCTCAATTTGCATTTCATTCTAGAGAGACAAAATGTGTCTAATTACTATGATGCTAAAAAGGACACTAAGCTATATTTTGAAGATATACTTAAAAGCATATCACTGCCAATGGGAATTCCATAGCAGACTAGCTTGGTATGTTTTGAGGAGTTTAAAACTGAAAGACTGATTTGTCACAAGTATGTATTTTTTATACCAGTCTGCCTCTAAGAAGTCTGCCATTTGAAAGCCCCTATATTTTACTATAACTTGTTTTTAAATTTACTTCATAGTCATAGAAATGGAATTTACTTAGAAATTAATAGAGCAAATTGTTTTTCAGTGTCTTCCTGGTCTCAAGTACATGTTTATAGACATTTATGACTCCTCCATACAAAGATACGGCTCTTTGTATATAACACAGAATTGTAGAATGGTTTGGGTTGGAAGTGGCATTAAAGACCATCCAGTTCCAACTCATATAATTCCATGTTGAGTTTCTCATCAAGGAACACCCCCTAGCCCTTCTCCTTAGGGCTGCATGGCTAAAACTGTGGTATTTCCCAACAGATTAGCCATTTATATTCTTCATTTAACTGTTCCCTCACCATTCCTATCAAAACAACTGTTCCCTGGACTGAAACATACTGCTGCTCTCCCTTTTTCAAGTGTATAGCCCCAGCTAAGTTATATATACACTTAACATTAGCTGAGTTCTGAGGTAAATTCATCTTTCACTGTTTGCTAAAAGAAAAAACAATTTAACACTTCCTGAGTTCTGAGGTAAGTATATAGAGAGTTTGGAAATGTTGTTACCAAAACCAGGTTCTTTTACAGTAGGATCATCAATTTTTTTTTTTAATACCTAACATTTAATTAAAAAAAATCACAACACCAATCTTCCCATTTCCTGATTTACCTTTCTGTTTGCTTCTGTCAAAGCATCCTGAAGCGCTTTCTCTGTTTGAAGTAGTCTGTCTCGGTACTCTGCTATTTCTCTTTTCATTTCACTTTCTTTTTCTTGTAGTTCTTTCTGGACCATCCCCAAACTCTTCGTCAGTTCATTTTTTTCTGACATAGTTATATGCAGCTGAGTCTAAAAACAGTAATAGAACATTATTTGATATTTAGAATTTTATCAATGCAGAAATAGCCAACCTGTTAAATTATTTGACTGTACATCTGAAATTTTGAATTTCCAAAAACAACTTGGTAAGAAAAATGTATTTTAGAGAGGCTAAATAGACTGTAATCACAGAATGCAGAACCTAAGCACAAAAGGCAGGATAGGAGGCAAAGGAAGGTCTTCTCAAATAAATATTAGGAACTGAAGGGTACACTGAGTGCAAGTTTGCCAACACTGTTAAAAAAGCAGCACTGCCAAAACCAAAGCTTAACCTCTCCAAATATAAAATTGTTCCCTCAGAGTGACTTGAAAGATTAAGGGTCACTTCTCTCACCTTCTCAAAGGTAACCAATATTTAAGCATTTTCATTTTGATCCACTTTTTGATGGTACTTTTTGGACAGCTAGCCAAAAGGAAAATTTATTTCCACGCAGGATTTCTGAAAGCTGCAGAAATCTCAGTTCTTTTTCCACTCAAAATCTTTAAGGCCACAACAGAAAGAAGCCCTTGGTTATAAAATTTTGTAGCTGTCATTAGCATATCCTAAGGCCATGTAAGCTTGTTTAAAGATATAATATTGGCCACAAATAAACAAGACCTACATTTATCTCCACAGTAAATCAGCCTCTGAGAATTAAATATTAACAACTTAAACTAAAGACTCATATTGATGATCCTTAAGGGTCCCTTCCAACTCAGGATATTCTATGATTCTATGATTCTGTTTCTTCCTTTACTTTGTCTTGAAAGAAGTTTTAAAGAATAAAGAAACTTAAGAAGTATTGCATTTTTTATCTAACATCCTCAGCCTAATGATTGAATGTCTGCACTAGAGAACTCTTGGCACCAGATTTCCAGATAGCCACCTGTGACATTTACGCTAAGGAAACAATTCAGTTCCTTCAGTGGAAGGAAAAGGCATAAAAACATTAACTAATCATCATTTCATCTCAAAATAGAACGTGAAATATTCAGAAACTTGGAAGCAAGAACCTGGAATACTGGTCAATAGAGCACAGCTCCCTTGACCAGCCCACACACATTCTCAGCTAGAATAAATCTGGCCTTGAAGACAGAAATAATAGAGGTGCAGTAACTAACTTTGTTCTTTTCTGAGAGTTCTTGAAGAAGTTGTATTTGTTCAGCAAGCTTGTTCTTTTCCGTGGTAAATTCTTCCTGTAATTTGGAAATCTTCTGTTCAGTATCACTTAGCATGGCTTCCAGCTCAACACAACTTTCGGTCAGTTCATTTACCTGAAATGAAATTTTATTTAACATTTTTTCTTTAAATTTTAAATTAGATGCATCATGACCTCCTAAGATTTTTTGTACATAAATACAAGCAGTTTTAAAGGTGAATTACTTTATTCCCATTGTTGTTCACACTCCAAGCAAGGGTCACAGCAGATTAGTGTCATTTTGACATAGCGCTTGTCCAATTGATGTTTAACTTTCTGTTGAGCTCTCCTAGTTATACTTGATATAAAAACTCACTCACCCACTATTCACTTGTCTTTCCTCTTTTTCCTTCGACAGGAAAGAGGAAAATGTCCTACATTATCTGATTCAACCTCTATGCCTACTTCCAAGCAACTGTTTCATTTGGCCTACATAAAACACAATCATGCTTTCCAGCTCTAAATACAGCACAAACTTGTTCTCAATTTGATCACATAATTTTAAAAATAGGAGGCTTACTGTAAAAGTCTGAGGTTAAAGTTATTTTAACATATAATTTATTAAGGAAGTGGTAAGCCCAGAGGACACTTTATCCTCGTTCTAAAAAAGGGAACTGTGCCCTAAGGGAAATGGTATTACCTTTTTGGATAAAGCAGTCTTTTCACAAAGAGTAGATTCCAGCTCCTCCTCAAGGCCTTTATAGGACACTTTTAGAACATTCAGGATATCTGGGAAGCTTTCATTATTAGAAAAACATTGCGCCTTTAGCTTCAGCTCAGCAACCAAGTTATGCAGAGCTTCTTTTTCCTGGTGCCAACGTTCACACTCTTGTTCCATGCGTGTCAACTGTGAAGACAGCTCCTCTGTTTCTTTCACCTGCTGCTGAAGAGCACAATTTTCCTGTACTTTTTCATCCAGCTTTTGTTTACAATCCGTAAATTCTTGAGCAAGCAATTCCCTTGTGTGATCCAACTTGATATTTTCATTTTTTATTTCCTGACATTCCTGCAGTAATATTGTTTTATCTTGCTCAAGAAGAGCAACCTGATTAATCAAGACTTGCTCTTTTGCTCTGGCAACTGCTTCCTCCTGGGAGGAAAGCTCTAATTTCTCACTTACATCTTTCAGCTCAGATTTCAGCAATAACATAGAATTTTCAAACTCCTCCTTGAGTTGCATCTTTTCTTTCTCCTTTTCTTCTATCAGTTTTGCTGTAGTCAAATTTGAAGACTCCAGTTCGAGGATTCTTTCTTGCTTTTCTTTTACATCTTTTGCCAAACACTCGTTTTGTGAAGTGAGAACATCAATCTGTAATTGATGAGATTTCAACTTTTCAGTCATCTCTTCCATCTCTACTGTTAACGTTTCTGCCTCTGATTTAGCCGTCTCCATTTGGATGATGACACCTTCTAGATTTTCCCCTGACATTTCCAATTCTCTTTCCAGCCTCTCGATTTTATCCACAAGAAAGTCAACTTTCCGTTCATGCTCCTTCAGCTTTTCAGCAGCACGGCGTTTTTGCCTCTCATCAGATTCAATTTTTACTTTCAGCTTCTCAATTCCGTGTCGCATTTGATCTACCTCTTTCTGTGCTGAGCTGAGTCTAGCAGCAAGTTCACCTTTTTCAATTAACAAGCCTTCGAAAGATCTAGAAAGCTTTAAGTTTTCCATTTCTGATGCACTTAACTTATTCTGCATAGCTTCAAATTCTCTTGCAAGCAGCTCTTTCTCCTTGTTCACATCTGCTGCTTGGTTTTGAAGCTTTTCTTCTAAACTGGAAGACACTGCATCCTCTCCTAACTTCTGCAGAAGGTTATCTTTTTCATTGGATAGCCGATTTATGTCAGATTTAGCAAGCTCAAGCAGATTTGTTTGCATCCTCACTTCATTCTCTAACCTTCTAATGATTTCAGTAGAATCCACCTTAGTTGACTCTAATTCTTTTAATTTCTCTTGTAACTTCTGATACTTTTGATCCAATTCTTCTTTAGTATCAGACAAAACACACAGTTCTTGGCCGATATGGTTTCTCTCAGCTGTGACTGAAACAAGCTGCTCTTGAAGAACAGAAATAGTTTTTAGGTCAATTTCCTTGTCCCTTTCTAACTGCTGATATTTTGCCTGAAGCACTTCAGTATTGTTATCTATGAAAAAGTCATGGTTCTTAATATTAACTTTCTCAGATTTTGGCTGCCTTTGCTCATTTTCAGCTCCAAGAAATTGTTCGTGACAGTTTCCCTTGGCCATTTCAACATCATCCAGTGTGTCTGCTGCATTAGACCATTTAGCTTGATATATCTCCACCTCAGACTTTATTTTCTCAGGTTCTTTTTCTAAAGACAGAACTTCAAGAGATAATTGTTGGTCACTGACAGAAAGTGATTCCAGTTTCTCCTTTATACTACTGTCCTCTTCCTTTGCTACAGTAGTTTCCTCCAGTTCTGCAAAAGCTGAGCTCTCCAGAGCTAATTGTGCGTTTTGAAAGTGCAGGTGAGAGTTTAACTTTTTGACTTCCGTTTGTAAATCAACATTTTCGTGGCTTTCATCTGTCTCGCAGATCAGCTTCAAATTTTCAGGAGTTTGTTGCTTTGCCTCCTCCTGAAGAGCTTCGGTGTTTATTTGATTTTCGAAGAAATCCTCTGAACCCAAAAATATGCCACTATTAGAAAATGACAGTGCACTAACATGATGGGAAGGGCTGGTGATTTTTCCTGACGTATTTCTACATTTTTGTTCTCTAGAAAACTCCTCTGAACAATCTTCTACTAATCTTGCTTCAGCAGTCCCAGTTACATTTTCACACACAGAGCTGTCTCCTACAGGAGATTTCTCAATGGGAATTAGTTTTGGTTTATTGTTTCTCATTTCTGGACTTCCAGTAGGGAAGGGCTTCCAAAAGGGGCTTCCCAGGTGATAAAGACTATCATTTTCCTGTTGAGCGTTCTGCAAAGTTTAAGAACCAATTAAAAAGATAAAAAATATATGCATATAAATAAAAACAAAAAAAGCAAGGTGAGTTTTAAAAACTTTCTTAAGCCAGCGAAGCTTCCCCCTTATGCAAAATAAATAGATAGCATCCTTCTTAACTTCAGAATCTGCACAATTTTCCTATGTAAAGGATTTTACACTGCATGCACACATCTTTGGCCAAAAGATTTTAAAGATATTGAGGGAGAAACGTCAGCCAAATTTACTAAAGACAAAATACAAAAATTGTGAAAAACTTTAAGTATCACTAATGGCAAAATTGCTTACTGCTCATCTTATATTAGGTGCTAAAGAATCTTGAAGGGGAACAAGACCCAAATCTTCAAAGAATCCCTTCTCTCAATTGCCACTGTCTGTCAGAGCTGGCTTACACATGGCACCATCTCACGGTCTCATATGAAACAAAACTGAGTGACTTTGAAACCTGAGGACTCCAAAAAAGAACAGGGACCACAGGGAGAAATTGAGTGAGCTGTACTGGGTACTTCATCTTGAGGGAATTCCAGTTATATGTGGTAGGAACAGTCTTTTTCAGGTGTCAGTGTGGATACTCCAAGTGAACTGTGAGCAAACATACATGTGAAAGACTTTCTCCTCTGCAAGGAGCAGTTGCTCAGCGTTGCACAGTTGGACAAAATGGAGATCTTTGAGATGCTCAGTCTGAGAGAGCACTGTTAAACCATCATCTCCAAGCCTATGCTGACCAGGTGCTGGAGACCATTTGCGCAGGACTTAATGACCCAGACTGGAAATTCCCCAAACAGAAAATAAATCCGTCAGATTTATGTTGGAGGGAATTAGTTGAATACGCTTTGTACATGAACTAAAGTGGTTTTCCTCTAATCTGACAGAAATTCTGGTTTTGTCATAGAGGGTCCTCTTTACAAGGAGCAGGAAAATCGAGCTCATTGGTTGCACATCACCTACTGTGCTGAAAGATAGGACAGCACTGACTTCCAAAATGTTCATCCTCTAAGGTATTTTTGAAGAATTTAGGCAGAACCGAGAATTAGCTGTTCTGCTACCAACTAGCTCTGTCCTGCTGTCGAGAACGTTAAAAGGAATTAGGGGCATGGAAGCAGTCTTAGCTTGATCTTTTTATGGTCCCATTATGGGGCGTGGGAAGTACAGGCATCTTCAGCAGGCTGTATTAAATCAGAGAAGATCTAAAGCTTGCAAACGCAGTACAGGTGTATACAGTGCACGTGCACCTACTAACACAGCACTTGATGGAAAAACAAGAAAGTAGCACACACTGTACTACTCTCACAACTCTAGTGGACTAAGCCCATTGACTTTTTTATTTCTCATTATCCCTGGGATGCATAGGCCAGAATTCATGGTACAGATTATTGGTCTACTTTCTTTAAACGGTACCAAATGTCTGTGGGTACAACTTTAAACATATTTATTTTCAAATTGGTAAAATCCTCATTTGGCTTTGCCATAAACCAAGAGGTTTAAGTGAAACTGTTTTGCACAAGAGCAATTACTTACGTTTTCAGTATCAGTGCACAGCAGCGAATGAGAACTTATATCAAGGACTTGTAGTTGGAGTTGCGCTGCTTCAAAGTCCAAAGACAGATTCTCAGTTTGTTTTCTTTCTTCTGCCAGTTTCCACTCCATTTCTGTAGTCAGGTTACTCAGTTTCTGCCGCCACTCCTCCCTGTCTGACAGATTTTGTTGTTTAAGATGATCTATTTCTTTTCTCTCTGAAAGTATAATATTTTTCAGCTCTTGTATTTCTTCATTTTTCATATTCTCTTGAACTTGAAGTTGGTCTTCAAGCACTTTAAGCGCCTTCTCATATGTCTGACAAAGCATTTCAAGTTCTTCAATTCTACCCTCAAGATTAGATGTGCTGAGAGTAATGCTCCTGCTTTCTTTAACAGAGTCCAGTGTGGTATCATTATGACAATTTTCAACCAGAACATTTGCTGCACCTTCTGAATTTATTTCTGCAGAACTTTTCAGCTGATTAATTTCCTCTGTCCATTTGCACAGACCACTGTTAAAAGAATTATCAACCTCACTTACTTCTGAGAAACAGAGACCTGAGAAAGAAATTGTGGATTTCGTTTCATCTAATTTAGATTGTGTGCCATTTTGGGTAGAAGATAGTGGCCCTGACAGATAATCTGTATGTGCACTGCTCAGACTTGTTGACAATGCAGCATTTTCTGCCTTTAGTATTTCAATGCAAGACTGTAGCTCAGATATCTTTGAGATCATACCACAATGATGTTCATATAACTTTATATGCTCATTCTGGAAAGAGAAAATTTTCTCTTTCACTTCAGCAAAGTGAATTTTAACTTCTTTGCTGGACAATTTTAAGTCTTCATAGTCAGAACTAGGTCCAGCACTGCATTCTTTGAAGGAGATTTCCTTATTATCACAATGCATTCTCAAATCGCTGTTATCACTTGGATCCATAACTTCATTGGGAAAAGTAGTTTTCTCAGCTCTTAAATTTGTATCTGCACTATTCATTATGTTCTCTTCTTCCTCTGCCACCTTATTAAAAACTGATGGTATCGCAGATGTTAAGTCTTCAAATCCAGAGGTTAATGCAATGTTCTCATTCTGCAACTTCTCATATATTTTTTCCAGCTCACTCAGTTTGCTTATTGTTAGCTGCAAAGAGGATGACAACAAGACTGGTGAATAACTTTCATCCATTTCTCTTTTTCCACAGTTCTGAGAAACATCATCATCACTATACTCCAACGAGTGGCAATCTTCACCTAATACTGTACGCTGAGAATATGAAGCTTCCAATTTGTTAACAGACAACAGTTCTTGCTGCAGTCTCTCTTTCTCTCTCACACTTTCCTCAAGTTCTGTTTCCATTTCCCTTAAAGCAGTCTTCAGTTGTATCAATTCTAACCTGCAGTTCTCTAGGGAGAGTTCTCTGTCCTCAAAATCCATTTGAAGAAGCTGAAGCTTAAACTGGTGTTTATTCAGCTCAGCATCCTTTTCTTCCATGCATTTCCTCAAATGTTCTGAACAGTCTCTCCTTTTGCAACTAAAGTCACATACTAGAAGTTCATTTTTTGTCTCGATTTCCTTCACCAATTGCTCCTTGCCTTGAAATACAATGTCTTGTTGTTCTTGCATTGCATTTAGTCTTGCCTCAACATTTAATATTTCCTGTCTTGAACAGTCAGGCTCACGAGAGGGCACGTGTTGGATGTCAGAAAATTCTGATTGTAGTTGTTGAAGTTCTTGAATCAAATCCTTTTTTATCTCTTCTGAGGCTATTAGTTTATGTAAGATATCTTTATTCTCACTAAGTACTAGTTTCTCTTTTTGTTCTAATTTTGCTTTCTTTTCCTCAAACTCAACGGTCTGCTCTCTCAGAATACTCATTATGTCTACATTTTCTTCTTCTACCACTTTATACTTTTCTTGCAAAATTTTCAGCTCTCTTGTGATTTCTTCAGTTCTTGCTTCAATACACTGCTTTTCCTCCTTATGTTTCCTGGACATTTCAGAAATGATTTCTTCTTTTTCCTTTAAAATATTAGAAATATTTTCATTTGCTTCCTGTAAAGTTATTTGGTTTTGCTCTAAAGCTCTGCTTAAATCCCTAATGGTTGCATTTTCTTGAGTAATTTCCTCAATTTCTTTTTTATATGAACAGATCATTGAAGACATGCCCTTCTTTTCTGAATCCCATGTCTCAGACATGAGCTTCAGCTGTCTTACTGAATCCTCAAGCAATTTATTACTGATCTTTAAATCCTGAAGCTCTGCTTCTTGGTTTTTTAGTCTTTCATTCAGAGTTTGCAGTTGCATGTCCTTTTCTTCAAGAATAGCTGAAGTTTGTCCAACAAATGTCTGACATGCTGAAATATCTGCTTGCAAATTACTAATGTGCTCTTTAGTTTCTGTCACAAAGCTTTCATGCATCTGTTCTATGTTACTTTCTCCTATTTCACCCTTGATTTGCAGTAAGTTGTCATTTTCATTATTCCATTGAGAAACAGTATTAGTCTCTTTTTTTAATTCTTCATATTCTCTCTGTTTGAATGCAAGGAGACTCTGCAAAGCTTCTGATTCCTCCTCCATTTTATTTATTTTACAGTTCAGTTCTTTAATATGATTTTCTTTTTCCTCGATCAGGTCTTGGGTAGAATTTCGCTGCTTTTCCATGTCAGCTAAAGCTAGTTTCAGTTGCTCTACAGAAGATGAGCTTGCTTGCTTTATACATTTCTCTTCCAGTAACTTCAGCTCTGCTTCCTGAAAAACATTCTTATCTGTAAACAGAAAACACCATCACATCATTGTCAGACAACATTATCAGTAGGATAGCCAATGTTTAATGAAAAATTACTATTTTTACTCTTTTCAATTATCATTTCAGTGCAAAGCATTACTTGTAAGTTATCTCATAGGATAAAGGATTAGTTATATCACTTCAGGCTATCAGACACTGTACTCATAGACATTTTTAACATTCTGTTCTGCAGCCTAATACAAGTCTGCACTCCAATCCGGTAAGTACATGTTTTCTCAGGTGACTAGCTACCTGTTGTTTCTGTGTCATTTTCACATTTTTCTTTTTACAGGACCTGTAACAGTATGACCTTTTAATGGATCATTGTGTTCCTTTTCTGCCAAAAAAGATGCTTAATTCTACACAGTCATTTTTCAAGATTGTCATAATTATTCCTCTGCTTTAATAAGAACGGAATAAGAAGCAGCATGTACAAGTAGCAAAAAAGAAAAAGATAATACATTCCTCCAGATAGCTCGTAAGGACTGCTAATTGTCTACCCAATCAAAAACAAATCAACAGTTGAAAGGCAACGAAAAGTGTGGGCATTAATTTTCAGGAAAACAAAATCAAATTCAAAATCTTCATTCTAAAAGCTCACATTAAGTTTGATTTCCACACAGAAGCAAGTGGGAATCTATCCCCTTTTATTATTAAATCCAGCAGAACTACAAAGAATATTTTATATTTCAATTTAATTCCTGAAAAATTGCGTTCTCGTTTAGAAACAAGCACTGCAAAGAAGAATCAACAATTAGTAGCTCCATAACGTTTTCCTTTCCCCCCCCCTTTTTTTTTTAAATTCAAGTAAGCAAGAATTATAAAACAGAAGTTTCCTGGTTTAAACGCATTCTCTGAAATTCAGTTTGTTGGTAAGTTCAGTATACTTCAGTTAATTTCAAAGTTGTGTATCTTCTGGAATTGCATACGTTTAGATAAAAATTCATTTTCATTTCAGACAAACTTAATGTTGGTTAAAAATACCATCATAATCATATCCCACAGAGGAAACCCTTTTGCTTAATTCACAATCAAGTTTAGAGGATTGCAGCAAACATGCATTATTGAGCATCCATCAGGAGTCCTGCAAATGTGAATACATAACTCACTTTTCATCTCTTCTGCAAAATTCTGGCTCTGCTTTAAAGACTGCTTGACTGTTTCTAGTTCCTCTTCAAGCTGGTGGATCTCTTGCAATTTTTTCTCAAATTTCAAGTCCAGAAGGTTTTTTTCCTGCTTCACTTCCTAAAACAAAAAATAAAGAAGGACCAGATTTTGTAAGGTTTGCCAAGATCAAAGAATTCAGTTCATTTCAATCAGAAGATAGATATTCCACTAGGTCCTCTCTGGGCAGATGGACATTGATTCCTAAGCCCTATTTGAGAACATTAGCTGAGCATAAACTTAACTCGTTGACAGCATCTGAGGGATGCTGCCAGTTGACACAGTCAGAACACCCTTTGTTTGCATACAACAAACAGCTCCAGATGACCTACCCCAAAGAGGCAGGACAGAACATATCCTACAAAATCAGAGGTGATTAAGTTAGGGTGCTTTCCTAAAGCAACAAAGGAAACAAACTCCTGAAATGGCATCAAATTTAACAAGAAAATTATAGATCAAATTTCACTTATCTCAAGCAAAGTCCTCTTTCTACTAAAAAATATTATCGTAGCAACACTGTTCAAATTTTATTTAGAAATGCTTATACTTCCAGAGGGTTATTTTGCCATTAAGAGCATTTTCTTCCAAATAAATTGAGTTTAAAAAAAGAAAAAAGCCAACTACATAACTACATTGCATCTAGGAAGCAAAACAAAAGTTCTTGTAGGGAAACTAATTTTTTTTCTCTAAACTCCTGTGCTGCTGGACAACAGATGGCATGGCTCTGGCATGGCCCTATTGGAAACAGGCCGTCAATTATTCATCCGTTTACTACTAGCAGATGGACAGCAATTCACAAAAGCCAAGCTCAAGAAACAGAAAGGTCTGGATGAAAAAAATTAAAAGCTTGCTGGCATGGCAGGCTTGTTTTTGAAACAACATAAATAAATCACCCTCAGAACATGATTAAAATTGTCACTGTCACTAGCAGTTACCTTCCCTTCTACTCACAGCCTTCCCTACACAGAATTTATAATAAAAAAAGTCACATAAAAGTTTCAAGGAACAAAGTTTTCTGGCAATCTCAACAATAATTTTTCAAAGAAGCACAAGTACTCAAACTTCCTGCTTTCAAAGCACCACATGTACATGCAATACGAGTCCATGACTGAACAAGCCTGTTCATTAGAACATTTAGGGTGATCTATGGACAGAAGAACAAACAAGTTTAAGAAATTAAAAAGGCTGAATGGTCCAATTATTTTGATTCAGTGCAAACGTTTTCAATAAACAGCAGTCATCAAGACCCAGGAAGCCATGCTTTAACAAAGTATCTGGTAACAATGAGCCGTTTGCTCTTTCCAAAGCTATAAGCAATAGAATCAATTTGGTTTCAATCCAGTTAATGCTTCTACTTGTATGTTGTTTTACCCAATTTATCCATTCTGCAACTATGCCTTGAAAAAGCAAAAATTAAACCAAACTCCAGAACCTATATACTGGTGGTACTGATTTCAGGAGGAACTTCAAATTGTTTTGAAGTCTTGGAGGCTTCGTTGACTTTCCCCTGATGACTTTTTTCGCTTTATACTTATTTATGAGAGTAAGGATAACAGCCAGACCTTAAATTCTGCTAACTATACCACATTGTCTTGTGTGAGTCAAGACAGAGGAAAAACAGTTACTGATCTCTTCAAGTACTACCTTCTCCCCCAGACTCAGCTTCTTCATAAATATATCACTCCTTCTGAAACACTGTCACCAGCTGTTCAGTTGTCTGGCCAACACGCATATATATGAAGAAAAAATGATTATAGTTGCAAACCAGTAAGGTGGATACAAGATTGGTAGGTAAAAAGAAGCATTTCCAAGAACTTGCAGTAAAAATGGTATCTCCACAAATTAAGGCACTCTCTGACAAAATAATTAAAAAAAAATAAATCCAACCCTAAAACCACCCGTACCAAATCTAACCTCAATCTATAATTTCAAAATAAGAAAGGGTATGAGCCCAATATATTTGATATACAAAGTTTTGTTTTTTTTTTTTTTAAATTAAAAATATGAAAGATCACACCAAGAATGAGTAGAAGCTTTCTAGATGCTTTCCTCTGAGATATGTTGGAAGAACAAGCACATTCTTGATTAGCATTACCACTAGAAGGCACTGGCTACATTTATTTGCTAAATAAATATGTGCCAAGGACCACAATCCAGCATTGAGGCCAAGTGGCACGGAACAGCCTGTATCTGTACCACTAAAATCTTCTATCTTCCAAAACAGGTGGCTGTAACCAAACTGCTTGCTGGGAATGGTGCCAGGCTCGTGTGAACTCCCAAACTGTGCCTGGGAATTGTACAAAAGAGTGCTAGTCAGCTGGGCCAAAGCCTTGTGAAATACTGTTCTAACAATTAACACTTTAAATAGTCACATTCCAATACCTGGCGATGCTTCCAGATATTGTAATCCACCAGCAGGAATGCACCTAAACTTTCACAGTATACTAAAGCTTTATCAAGGCTTGTACTGATCTGGTCAAAAAACCCTGGTGTTAATTTTTTTTCATAAAATTTTGCCAAGTAATTTTTTTTTTGTCAGAAATTATGCCAGATTATTTTATACCCGCTCATGACAACAGGCAACAAGGAAGATAAGAGTGTTTAAATAAAACAAATGAGTGACAAGGATTACATAGCTATCAAGCTCTCTTCCCTTTTTTTTTTTGAGAATTAGAAGTAGAAAATAAAAGAAAAGAAATGCACTGAGAGGTCTCCTAGTGGCACAACTCTAAGTGTTTCTAGTATTTCCACTCTGATTGTACCAAAGCAAAATAATGTAACAGAAGACCAAGGAGATGCTAAAGTTGAAAAGATTTTTGCACAAGTGAATGAGGTAGTATGTCCACAGCCAAAAACTTTTCTGAATTAAACTTTATTTTGAGGGAAGCATTAGGAGCAGTGTATATGTGTTGAACTGTATTTCTTCTTAGAAGAATGCAATTTTTTCAAAAGAGGATATAGTAAATATGCAGAAAATCTTTGAGTTTGGCAGCATGCACCAAAGAAACTTTCAATGATTCTGGAATTTACTTCTAAAAATCAGACAAATATTTATTCATTTTTATTTCAGGACTAAAAGCAAGAATCTCTTAAAACAAAAAGCTACGTTTGGTAACAGAAGTCCAACAGGAACCAGAAACTCAGCAGTAATGCTACAGCATTGTAATCCCAATCCTTCAGCCAAATATGCAAATTCCATGAGTCTATGTGAAGTTAGTGAAGACCTTGTTTTGTGTCATGACTAAAGTATTAATAAGATAGTTCATAAAAACATTTTAAGATGGCTTATGGGGAAATATGCTATGTGGGTAAACTACTAGACAGTCCGAGCGTTTACAGCTTGTTAATTTATATTATTTATTGTACCCATTACTCCTCTGCATTAGTTACCTCAAAGCTTCTTGTCAAGTCACTTTCCTTAGCCTGGGCTGCTAACAGAGCCTGCTCCGCTCTGCACAGCTTCTGAGTGAGATCACTGTTATCACGTTCCAAGCGTTGCTTTGCTGCCATTATCTGCAAGAGCAAGCATTGAAAATTCACATTGTGTTTACAGGCATAACATTTTTTTTTTTAAACCTCCTATGCTTAAACTCTAACACTCTATTACAAAAATTACCCCAGCATGAACCTAAGGTTGCTTTAGTGTGGTTTAGAAAACAGCTTCTTATTGCATTTCAGTTCCTTTCCCTCTGATCAGAAAGATAATGTCTCTAAAATACATATAGACTGTCTGAGGTGGGTTAATACATCCGACTTGCAGCTACATCACCGCAATGATAACTCTAGGCTTAAAATGAGATTGGCAGCATAATAGCCTTATTGGTAAGCTATGTGAATCAGAAAGGAAGAATCACAACCATTCTTCTCACTCCATGGACACAGTATTTTGAAGAAACTGAACAGGTCGTAGCTCTTTGAAACAGTCCTGTAATGATCCAGATTTAAATGGAAGGAAATGGCATTATCAAGCCAAAACAGGAAAACAAACAATAATATAAAATCTACTCTTAGATCATTAGATAATAAATTTGCTTTTTTGGAGAAAGAACTAAAAGCACTTATTTTTCTATACAAAATCAATTTATTCAGTAAGTACATGTGAAATAAGATGTGCATAAAGAAAACTCCCTTGAAAACACTTGACAATGTTTTCACAGAACTACATTTCTAAAATAAAACAAGCTTGTAAGAAAGCTGTTGTCACTTTCAGAAATACTGTTTTCACTCAGCCTCCCTGCTAATGGCCCTTCTCAGCACGGCTTTCAAAGACTCATGGCCCTTTTTAATAATTCAGTTAGCTCTGCTGCTTTACAGCTGCTCGCAAGAGTTTTTTGACCCATACATATGTATATTTTTTAGTCATCCTCTCTTTAGATTGCTGCTGCAACCAACTTCCTTACTGTGGTCCCATCACAACTAGTAGGATCTAATGGTCAGTGGGAAGAGACCTTCTAATGGAAGTGGGAGAGACCTCCCTTGTAGTCAGGTTCCTCCTCATACAAGCCCCGATTCATCTGGATTTTGTGGAGAGGAAGTCCACAGAGTTAAACTAATGGGAAACTCTTATTATTTATATATTATTTATACATAATTTTTCTTTGTTCTTTTAGTCCTTGTTTCAGCTCTCTGCATGTTCAGATGAGTGAGGGTGCTGCTACAAATGAAGTAACAGGAACGCATGAACAGGGAGCATGAAGTGGGGCTGTGGTTCCAAAAGGCAACTACTTGTTGATCAGCTTAGCTCTACTATCAGACTGCACCTCTGCAGGCTTTTTGTACAAGCTGTCTCTTGTGATCAGCCCCAACTAGTCCCCACACACACAGCAGCTTTATTTCAGTTGCACTGTTCCCTGTGGAAAGTAGACTAGCCCCAAACGTTCTAAACCCTGCAAGTCACATTTAAATACATAGTACTTCAGTGAGAAATGGTAAATACAAAACAGCTAATACAAACTGGACAAAACATCAATATAAACTTCCATATTAATTATTATTTGTTTTATGTAGAATTAACTTAAGGCAGTGCTGTTGAGATCAGTAAATCCTAAGCTTAATAGAAGATATTAGCGTAAAAAGCCTACTTTGTCAAATTCTGCCTGCAGGGAGTTGAAGTCGTTTTTGGCTTGCTGTAGCTCCTGGTTCAGTTTGTTTCTTACATGGTTGCTCTGCTGATCCAGCTTTTGTAAGGAACGTTGCTGACAGGCTAGTTCCTAGAGAACAGTGGTATAATATCAAAGAAATAAATACACAAATTAAAACAAGTTTCTATTTTGGTTACTGAAACAACAATAGAATGATTTTCATTAGGCGATACTGCCTGCTCTGAAACACAATAAAAAAAAACTTGAAAACAACTTTGATGCACACTTCTTTCTCATGGGCAAGAATGGCTGTAACACCATTTGTGTCATCTGCTTAAAAACTCCATTACAGCAATGTTCATGTCATGAAAAGGGAAAAAAAAACTAAAAGTAGTAGAAGTATCAGTATTAAAATTTGTTATCTTCAGGATGTGTTTCAAATAAGAATTACATTAAAGTACAAGTGGACAAATACATCTCTTCTTTGCTATTATGTGCATACCATACAGTAGGGTTCATTTTTTTTCTCACTGAAATGGGGCCTTTACATCCTACAGCAACCCAATAATTATGGAAATTTGAAGCTCAGATGGAAACATTCAAACAAAAATTGAGAGAGAACATTGGAAACTGTTTAGACTCTGAAACCAGTCTACGTTACTATCTCTGAATAAAGCCTGAGAAGTCCCAGGCCATTGCCTAAAAGTTAACAGAATGCATACCTGAATCTCACTTGACTTTTAGAAACAGAAATAGGACAAGGGACACACAAACAAGGCTTCACAGGGCAGAATTCATTAGGACCAGGACAGGACTTAGGTTTCACAGAATAGAAAAGTCTCCCCGGAGGAAAATGCACAGATGAGATATTCCCAAGACAGCCCACATATTTGGATGCCCAAATGCATAAAACAAAACCTTCACGTGGGATTTGGCTGCCATGTATAGCATCCAGTTCATACAAATAAAGGAACATTAAACAAACTTCATAATAGCTTTTAACAGCTTACAGATGACAAACATTACAGAGAAAGTGTTCTTCACACCAGCTGGCCTTGTTGAACAACCTAGAATGACAGTGTGTGGATTTACATATTAGCCTTGTGAAAGCCTTTTTAACAAAAATAGTCTTCTTCACGGGAGCAGTTCCTGTGCGTGACACCTAGACTGCCTGGCATCCAAGCAAGCAGCTGCTGAAGCAGGCTGTAGCACCAAAGCACCCGTGCACAGGGTTCTGTGCTGCTCCTCTGCTCTCAGCACCGCCACCTCCATGAAGGATTCCAGTCGGTGCATGCACCAGCCAACATGGATTGGATTTGTAGGGAGAATCAACAACATTCTTCAAACCCGGCTTTAGATGAATACAATTACTGCTCTGTTTGAATCTTTTGACACTCTTTTTCATGCAATAGTTATTCAAAGATCAACTCTTATTTATCACTTCTAGACCAGGTCCTGTACCTCTCTGAGATCCTTGGTTAGTATCTACTGCCAGATTTTATGAAACCACTTTTTCCACTCACGTATCAGTATTGTTCATTAGCCACTCCAGCAGAAGTCTTCTGCCAGTGATTTTATCTTTCTAGGGATACCTCAGAGAACGTTTTAGGTTTAAGATCTGACACAACAGCAGTCGTCTTCACAGCAACCCTCTATCCAACCCCTAAAGCAAATTTAAAATGCCTATCTGAAATGTTGTCATCACTTCCAAACCCAAGTAATCACTTGGATTTCCTAGTACTGACTGTATTATAGAATGAGTTTAGAGCTAATCTGAATCTGAAAGTTAATACTAAACCTAATTTCACCCCAAAATTTTTCTGGGATACTGCTACACTTGTTCTCTCTGCAATAGCTGGCACAAAAAGGAAGCAAAGGACACTGACGCTAATCCCATATTTTACCATCTTCTGAGCATGAACCAAGATTAGAAGAAAGACAATCTTAAAGAAATTTGTTTCTCATGTGTGACAGGCAAGAAAAATTAACTCAGATTCCACACTAACAAATAACTGAGTTTGAACCCACATGTACATAATTCTGTGAGCCAGTGCAACCTGGTTTCTCACGGATTCTGTGTGAGAGACCTGAGTGAGATACGATTCTCTAATATCTGATGAATCCTAACATAAGTCTGCATCTCTCTGGCTGACCCCCCTTTATTGTGATGTGTTTTCAGTTTTTCCAACTACCTTTGTGGCTTTTATCTATCAGATGTGATTGCAATGAACTGAAAAGCAGGTACACAAAACAGGCCATGTGATTTCATCTCCTCAACAAATCAAAATTTATAAAAAGTTCCGCCTTACCTCTTGGTATTCCTTCTCCTTAGCCTTTATTTTCTGTTCTAAAGACTGACGAGTACTCTCAGCATTTTGTCTTTGACAATTCAGTTCTTCAGACAATCTTTTCATCTTTTGCTCCATCATTTGGACCTACAATAATTAGTTATCAATCCCAAACGTTAAAAATGCAAGAGATGTTTTACGTTCGTAAGTTGGACAGAGGAAAAAAAAAGGCAACTATCTTAGTCTACCTGAACTACAAGTGGGTCTTTTCCACAATTCAGACTTTAATTACGAAAAAAATCAATAGTGTATCTTCTGGTTTAACCTCCACATGAAGAATATGTCAGCTTGCTGTCTGATTTAGCTTACTATGTTAATATTATGTTAACTAAGAGGGTGGTACAATGTCACCCAACTCCCTGAAAAGTAAAATTTGGTTTTATTCCAAAAACAACCTGTTAAGGCTAAACACTTTCCCCCCTCCCCACCCCCCCAAGATAAGAGGTAAGAAATAATGGGAAAGTGTGAACAGGACTGGTTTTATTCCCCAGCAACAAAAGCTGGTGAATGACTTACTGAAATAACAGTGCCTTTATGCCATAAGTAAACAAGATGCAGGTAGGAGTACAGGGATGCTGGGTTATTAAGCAGACCGCAGAGACCGTGAGCCCCTGTAAGATCCCATGGAAACTTGCCTGCCAGTCAGAACCCTGCCAACTTCATAATATGATAGAATGTCTAACAACACAGGGGAAGTGCTGTAGTCAGGGAGTGGTGGTAGTGACAACCATGCAAGAGACATGCCGGAAATTAAATTTGGGATATGAGGCTGGAAACTAAAAATCCAGAACCTCAGTGTCATTCATGCAAAGCACGAATAGTGGGCAGAGATCCAGTTTCAGTGCAAAAAGGAAAATGTAACAGAAAGGAATAGTTTTCAGCTGTCAGGACCAAAGGATGCCTCCGAGCTAAGGAGATGCTGCATGGTACCTTCAGGACAGGCTGTGCCTCAATTCAAGCAGGGCCAGCCAGTCCTACTCCTACAGCCAAATGTTGTGCGCTCTCTCTCTCTCAAAAGACATATGGGTTAACCCTCAACACACAAAGGTTTATTTTTACAGACCAATACAGGAGCTGTGGGAAACAGCACAGCTTTCCAATATACTGAGGTAGCAGGTAGAAACTTGCTGAGAAAAATGGATAATAATCATTATATCTGGAGAAGACACAAAAATATTTTTTTCCTGTTCTGTAGGCAAGTCAAAATAGTAGGAAATGAAAAAAATAGGTGGAAATGTGAAGATTCAAATAATCATGTGTATACTAGTCACGTATTACTTCTGGGTACTATTTTCATATCTGTCAAATGCTGTGAAAGAGGAGTTGAGGAAGATGCTGTAACTCAGCTGATCAGTAAGAGGGAACTTCTAACTGGTTATCTGCAGTTTGAACTCAATGATTTTAAACAGTGGTGTTCTCTTCTTGGCATGATCAACACCAAAAATCAAGTGGATTCATTTTTACGTATTATATATTTAAATACACTCTAAATAGTCAACTAAACAAACTGAACAAATTGTACTATCTTTTTCTTTACCTAGTGTGCCTACACATGCAAACTGCTTAGGATTAGGTCATGGAATCTTACTTTAAAACTACATGCATTCTCAACATCATCTTTCATGGCATTTTAACCCAGATTTTAGTTTATACAAGTCATTTAAAATCCAGATTATCTCACCACAACATACTGTAGTTTAGGCAACAACTTCTGATTTTTCACTTTTTTTTTTTTTTAAAAGACTGATTTCAGTTCTCAGTTACACGACAGTCTGTTCAGTGTCAACTTGCCACCAGATGTCACTGTTGCTCTACAGAACTTAATCTAAAATTATTTTTCAGAAATCCAGTCAATCTTGCCTGAGGGCTATACCTAATGGATGAAAAATATTTCTTCAGGTGGAGTAAGAACCTTCCAGAAAATGGCAACTGCTTATGAATACTTGCATTTTTACAGGTAATACACAAACTAACAGTCTTCTGAAAACTGGAATCTCAGCAAATGTCCAAGAAACTTAGCAAAGTAACTTGGTTCTTACTAAAATGACTGAAAACTGACACACATTAATACTGGTAATGGATCGTAAGGATGTTCAGAAGATGTGATGCAACATCTCACCTGTGTCGTTGCTTGATTGAGTTGCATCGTCATTTGAGTTATTTTATCTCTAGTTTTAGTTATGACTTTATCCTTCTGTGTTAATTCCAACTTCATTCTGTCCAGCTTGAGTTCAGCCTCTTGATATTTATTCATATGGGATTTCTTCTCTTTTTCTAGAGCTTGCAGTTGTTTTTCTAGGTCTTTAACACTTGAATTTAGCTCTGAATTTTAAAAACAGTTAAGATAAAAGAAAATTTCAACTCTTTTCTACTACTGTAATCTTAATGACTATAATTATCAAGACAATAAGATAGTTGACTAAATCAACCAATTCCATTTTGCAACGTATGAGAGCACAAGCAAAATGCAAAGTCAGGCACAAATGTTGCAAAAGCAAAGACAATTTTTTATTCTGCTGTTATTTTTTTCCCTTTGTTGTTTTTAAAAAATACAGAAAAATGTACCCAACACATTTTTATCTTTATTTATTTTTAAAGGAAAGATATACACTGCAAACATTTATTTGGGGCAACTGTAAGCCTCTGCTTCAAAGAGACTTTTGAGTTATTTCACATTTTAATGTTTTTCTTGCCCGTAAAGCTACGTATATAAAAAGTAAAAACCAAGTGATCTTGTTATACTATTCAACAGCAGGAGTCTGCCTTCCAAAATCACAATGCAATTTTATGGTAAAAAGCATTAGTCGGCTACAGGACTGTTATCAAGAATTAATATTAATTGCTAAATTTTATTTATTAATATACAAAAACCTGTTCTTCTGATACTGAATTCATATGGCTTCCAAACTAAAAAACACTGCCCAGACTAAAGTTTTACATGTAGACATTTGAATAAACATTTGGAAAATACAAAACCCAATAAAATAAAAAAAAAATCCTGCAAAAAGCAGTTAGTGGAAAACCTGGTCGAAATAGCAGGTTTAAGTAAGTGGCCACCAAATCCATAACCAAACAAATCGTTGTTCACTTCCAATTATCAGATACCAGAGAAAATGTATTTCTGCCAACATGCAGAAAACAACATATTATTTTGCTTTTTCATTGTATTTTTAGTATCTTATTCTATCCCTAAAGATAGAATAAGATTCCTGTAACATCCTTTATGGATGAACTCAGTTATGCATTAAGCACATTCAATCAATGAATTTTTAAACAGATATTGCTCAGCCATAAGTCTCAATAGTCATACAAAATTAAGGAAAAATATAATTGAATTTGAATTTAACACTGGAGATGGAATGAAATCCTGAGAAGTTTTAACTTTGTTTTAAGAGAACTGTTCCATAAGCAATGGAATTATTAGAAAAGGCTGTTCTCCTTCAATTTTGGTGCAATATCCCCTGCCCACACCATAAATACAAACTCCCCTCCTAAATCCCACACCCATTATGTAAAAGCTACCACAGCTTGTGGATGATCTCCACGTACTGGCTGGTCATTGTGAATACACACACCAGTAGCCAGCTGTGCTAGCTGCCAAAGGCAACAACAGGTATCTTGCTCTTTTCCTCACTAAAGCACTAATTGCAGTGCCTCTCTTCTATCCACACAGCAACTTTCACGAAGCCATACAGGAGGCTGCCTCTGGCTTTTAAAGAAATATACCAGATACCTTGGTTCTGTGCTCTGAGCGGGGTGATGAGTGAAGAGTTACAATTCTCAGCAAAGCTGTTGTCAAACTCCTTCTTCTCTGATATTATACTAGAATTTGTTTCCTTTTCCCATGGAAAATAGGATGCTGTAGAACTTCTCTTTGCAGGGGTTTCTTGATTTCTAGATGGTGTCTTTTCTGGTTGCCATGAAAACACAGATGAGGAAGCCTGATGCCAAGCAATCTCCCTATGACTCAAAGAGCTTTGCTGAGGATAAGGCTGATTTATTTTCTGTGACCAAAAAAAAAAAAAAAAGGATCTATCCTTACACAGTTCTACAGCTGACATATAACAAAACTCATTTATTAATAACTAGATAATAGGTCATGGTCATTTCAAGTTGTTATGATAACACAAATCATACACCATTGCAAATTACTGATTGATATCACTGCTTTTTATACTACATAAATAAAATAACATTATTTCAAGTATAAAAGCATAGCAGGTACTTATCAGCACAGACCAGGAGCCCTAAAAAACTGAGTTTTATGTGTTTATGTTTAACATATCCAGATTTTTGTGTTTTTCAAGCGAAAAAACACCATTTACCTCCTACATTTTCCAAAATCAATGCCTGCATTCTAACAGGAAATTTCTGACACAAGTAAGCTGCAAGAAATATAGAAGTCTAGACTAACACATCTGATATCTGCCCCATATTTATTCCGAACAAACACAGGTAAATTCAGAATATACCCAGTTATTGAACCTTTTTTACACAGAATAGCCAAAAATCACAGTAACAGAAAATGCTAGGTACCAGCTTGTAACCTCTTTGCATAGAAAAATTAGTGACAGTCCAAATCTAATTTTGTTCCTTCCTATAAATGTTTTAAATGAAAAAAACTCAGACAATAATACCCCCAACTGTATTTTTAAAATGGGTTTTCAAATGCCTCCTATTTACTATTTTTTAAACTAGTGCCCTAAACCAGGTAATGCCCAGTCTGACTTCAACCAGAGAATATGTTGTCATGTAGGAATAGCTGTGCTAGGACCAGAAACTTATTATAGTTCAGGATACTGTCTCCAATCTTATATTTTTTTTAATGGACAGGGAACATAAAAACCTAACAATAAACAAGGTAATCATTCCCCTGATGTGCTATTTAAATTTCCTGAGACAAATGTTTGAAACCTGGAAATTAAAGGAATTATTTTTACTGAAATGTTTCACCTGTATTTTCTCTTTTGGATCTGTCTATATTTTGTTTTTTGTTTTTTGTTTTTTTTTACAGTACTCTGTGACAAAGAGTTCTGTCATTTAACACTGTATAATATTAAATAGTTTTTGTTCAAATCCTCCAGAGCTGGTACTGTTATTGTGCCTTATGAAAATAGAAAAACGACCATTTTCTGTTTCCTCTCTTGATCCTCATTTATCTCTGAACCATCCTGGTTCTACTATACCTGTTTTCAGATTAGATGACCAGAATTGTGGAGCATGCAAGGAACACGGGCAAAAAATACTTCCCCATTAGTTACTTCAAATAAAATAATTCTTTTTCACCATTGTTGAACACAATATTGAAGTTTCCAGAGATCTAGCCACAATAATTACAGAATTACTTCCTAGAATATTTTCACCAAATTTGGAGCCAGAGTGTAACAGATATGCAGTGTTCAGATTGTGTTTTCCAGGTGCATTACTTCACATTTCTGATGCTGAACTGAACTTGATATCTTAGCTATTGCAATGTACTATAATAAGGTCATGTGGACTTTAGCCATATTGTTCAACACTTTTTCAGATAGTTACCAAATATGCTGAATAGCACTTTTCTCTGCACTCATCCTTTCCAGGCTCCACTGCTGATCATTCCCCAGCTGCAGAAACTTACCATTTATTCCTAGCCCTCAATCTTTACCAGAATTCACAAGAGGAACTCTGCCTTATCAAAGCAGTTTATTTTTTTCAGAGCCTTTTAGATATCCAGCAACATTACATTGAATTAATCACGCTTGTTCTCTGATTTACTCTAAGAAAAACAAAAAATTGAACCACACACCTCCGAAAATATGTGAGGCATGATTTACCTTTACAAATAATAAACAGTTAGTTGGTCTTTTCTCCATATATTATATATACACATGCATCAATACATTTAGTCTGTTTAAGTTTCTAACAATTTGTCCATGACAAAAGTGGGTCTTCGTAAACTACATTCCCAGGAACTGGTACTGCAAGCCTTTCTAAGAACTGGTATCACCCTTGCCACCTGTTAGAGCCAAGAGGAAACTGAGATCAGTTGCACATCAAAGTGATTCAGCAGTCCCACTTTGGAGTGCTGTATCAATTCATTGGTAAATATTATCTGTATCTGGTGGGGGGTTTTTAGTGCTATTCATTTGATCAATTTCATTTAAGACTTTTTCTGGCTTTTCAGTTCGAGACTATGCCACATATTCAACCACCATAAAGAAAGGCTTTGATATATATAGAGCTATCTTAGCCTTTAAAGAGTAAATACCAAGTCAAAAAGATTTGGTCTTCTTGTTCTCAATGAGAGCCTTTACAACTTCATCACCTATTGGCCTCTGAGATCCTCTAAGATACTGGCTACTACTTACACATTTAAAAAAATTACTGATTTTTGCTTGCTGGGTGAATTATTTCTTGTAATCTTTTCAAAGCTATTTTACTATTTTATTATATTTGTCAAAACTGGCACTGCTTTGCTTTCACTTGTCCTTGACTGCCCAAGACTTCTAGGTTTTGAAAGATGTGTTCTCATTTTTAATATCCTTCTTTCCTTTGCTACTCAATTATGTAGGCAATAGATTACTTTGAATGGCAGGACACACTGATTAATCTTTTTAATACATATATATTAATTACACTTGAAGTGATACAGAATATATGTCACTTAGTTTCCACTCCATTTTCCAAGTTTAAGCAGTACTAACTTTCTTGGCACTAGCACGTTATTTTCAAAAGATACTTACGTTAACCTGGATGGTTCTCAGTTCTAACTCTAGCTTTTTTCTTTCTTCTACTTCCTTCTTGTATTTTTCTTCTAATTCTTCAAACTTAGCATCTACAAAGACATGATAAATACTTGTTTGTAATACAACTTGGGAAAAGGCTAGAAAAGATTACCTATATACTATCACAGGAGTGATGAAAATGAGTAGCTGTCAGAAGCATAAGATCATGAAGAAATAATTATATAAATATGTTTAGTAATTTAGGGCCTCAAAAGTACACCTGTGGCATACATGGAACTTGACATTAGAATGAAAACACAACTGTTAAAAGTAAGGATCCGATGCCAGAGTTTATTTCTGCGCTTTTTTTTGACAACATGTAACATCTATAGAAAAATGTATATAATGCATAGAATAATGAACATGTATCTATACTTTTTTCTTTCAAAAAACATATATATATTTAATGATACATATGTATACACACACATATAGATATTGTGTATTTATATATAATTTTTACACTACCAGCCCAGTAGCATTAACATTATTAAGAAACAAACAGAGGCTGGATCTTTCCCTTTAGCAACTTTCAAATGTAATAGGTATTGGACAGGATTCTTTTGTTAAAATTTTAGAAAATTTTAGTCTAAAGCAAGTCTTGCTCTCCTTTTCTTGAATTTGTAAATAATTCTACATTAAAAAATCTAGAACTAGAATGCTTTGTAATATCTCAAATAACACACCAGCTTTCAATGAAAACAAACTTCTGCAACAACACCATTTTAAAGTTACTTTAACCTAATTCTTACTTCAGGAAGGTCACACTTCTGTGTGAATCTGGAATACCTGACATCTCCAGTCCTGCACCCCTTTTTGGATACGTATGAGGGAATTAAAAGAAACAAGAATACATGAAAACATCTCAGATTTCCAACTGGAGTAAGAACAAGACACCAAACACACAGAACATTTGTTCACAGCAAAGAAAGCATTCTCAGTATTGAACCCATCACAGTTCTTCAGTGTATACAGTACTGAGGTGTCTGACTACATAACTGTTCTGTTATAGAATCTTCCTCTCGTTTTTCCAGTTCATTCAAATATTTTAAATCTATTTGATGTCACTAATTTGAAGATAGAAGTGATGCTTTGAAGTGGATACAGAGGTTTTGTTTTAATTGTGCAGATTATTATGCACAATAATATCCTAAGTCAAAAATAATCTCCTAAAGAAAACAAATGACTGTTGATTGAACTTTAGTTAAAGCACCTGCAGCACATGAAAGAAGAAATTTGCTCTTCACTATGTGAAGGGAAGAGCTGACACTAGGAACAAGCATTCAAAAAGATTGCTGCAGTCTGTTGATAAACATTCCTATTGTTATTCCATGCCCATCAATGTAGTGCTGAAAAGATGTAATATTTGCAGTAACAGTTCAATCTGCACTACTCTTTTTTAAGCTTGGAATTTACAGTGTTACAAACCGAGCACTCTCATAATAAGCTATGCAGTATGGATTAGGCAATTCGGTACCTAAGTGTAATATTCAAAGCACCTCTCCCACCTTCCAAGGGAACTGACAATTGGCTATCTGCGCTAGATGAAGAAAAATTCATTTACCATTATGACTTTGAACTGGTGTTAAAGGAGCAGTTAAATTTTTCTGTGGAGTACCACTGAATGATGAGTCTCCTGTAATCAATGCTTGCTGACTTCTCTCAAGCTCACATTTGTATCTGTTTAGGAAAGAAACAGGAGAAATTACTAACATAAACTTGAAGGTCAATTATCCATTTTTAAGAGCCCAAAATACACAAGTAAATATGATTTCCAGTGCTTAGTTTGAAAATCCATTTGGAATTAGAATTGATTTCCAACTGATTTTTGTGAACATGAACTATTACAAGCTCATTCATGAAAACCACATCACTAGTTGGGAAGTTACACACATGAACTGCAGCCAAAGGAACAGCAGCTTTGGTCCTGCCCAGCGAGCCCAGGTGAATCAGGCAATGGTTCCAGGCTGCAGCCCATCACATTAGTGGCTCCACAGCTTCCTGCTCCATTCTCCCCTCCATTTTATAGCACAACACTAAGGATTCTTCTCCCAGGGGGGTGTCAGGTGCTATGAAGTGGTAAGTGATCAACTAGGATAAAGCAGACCCAAATACAAGATCAAAACTGATAGTGGGGGTCAAGCTACAGGTAATCCATTGTAGTGGATAGCTATGCAAAGAACTATAAAGGACAGCAGAAAATTCAGTAAACTAAGCTTTCTGTGTGGTTTTGGAAATAGAAAAATGTGAAATCCCCAGCCTGTAACCTCTAACAGCCAGCCTTTTACAGCAGGTTTACTCTATACTTCAGTGTGTTTCTAACAACCCTGCTGAATCACACTGGATTCTTCCTCAATGGATCTCAGCAATTCCTTGCACAAAAATGTCTCTGTGTGTCATAAACTGTTAAAATCTAGAATCTTCTCACAGCAGTCAATATTTCAAGTTTCCTTAGTTTTCCCTAACTGTAAAACGATGACAAAAAAGTACAAAGGGAAAAAACAGGAAGGGCAATGCAGCTCCCTCTTTAGTTACTTTATTGGGACATTAAGTTGAATGAGCTAAGTCCAACGGTGTCCTGGGGTGCACCGAGCACAGCACTGCCAGATGGTCAAGGAAAGGGATTGTCCTGCTCTACTCTGATGCAGCCTCACGTTGAGTACTGCATGCAGTTTTGGGCAGCACAACACAGTAGTGATGCTTAAGTATATCAAACTAGACGGCCTAGAGGGGAAGATGTATGAGGAGCAGCTGAGGTCCCTGGGTTTGCTCAGCCCAGAACAGAGCAGACTGAGGGGAAGCCTCATGGCAGCCTGCAGCTCCCTCATGAGGGGAGTGGAGGGCAGGCGCTGAGCTCTGCTCTCTGGGGACAGTGACAGGACCCGAGGGAACGGCATGGAGCTGGGACAGGGGAGGGCCAGGCTGGGGGTTAGGGAAAGGTTCTTTCTGCACCCAGAGGGTGCTCCGCCAAACGTCCATCTCTGTACCCAGGGAACAGGAATCACTTCTTTACCGATGCAACCAGATGCAGTGATTCAGTCACAGCACCATGGTTTTTGGTAACTGCTTCTTCTACTCCAGGAAGCGTTCACCCCTTCTTCCAGCTTTCATATTTTATTGGTAGACTTGATCTTAAAAGATCAAGTTATCTGTGCAATTATCTTGCAGCTCCAAGCCCTCTGCAGATTACTTTTGCAAAGTAACTCAGTTATGCTAACAACTTGTGTTGTTGTTATCCTAGAATGAGCAGATTCTTATCACGTGGTATGACAAAATTCCCCCAAATTAGACAGGAACCATGGGTGCTTACTGCTTCAAGTGACACAGAGACTTAGGTAGATGCCTGTGCATGCATGTGTGAAAACACACAAATGAGAAAAACAACTGTTTTTATATTAGAGACAAAGCAAGTCCTCACCTTTTCAGCTCCTGTTCTAGTCTTTCAATTTCTTTCTTGCTGTCATTCAGCTGCCCTGATTGAATGTTGATTTGAGATTCTTTTACTTTAAGATCATGTGAAATTTTCTGCTTTGCCTTGTCAAGACTTTCGCACAATTCCATCAAGCTCTGGTTCTCTCTCTTCTGAGTTGCAGCTTCATTTTTTTCATTTTCAACCTATTAGGAATACGGACCATTTCAAAATTGTCTCAAGTCTTTGCTCAACTTAAAGTAATAGTTACAGTTTATATGCTGTTATTTTCTTCACAATCTTTCAAAACCCCTGACAGCACTGAAAGCCTCAGATATACACACTGCTCAAATATTCTTGGGTATAAACAAAAAACACTTCTTAGAATTCATCACATTAACACCCAAACAACTCCTATTTACTGACTAGACACAATCTCATCAAGAATTCATTAGACCTTAAATACTAGTCTACACTGAATCACTCCTCAGTGATTGTCTCACTTCTCCTTCACATATATCAGCTTTAGCAATCAGAATACCTTGACTCACTACACAGAAGATGCACAATTACCAAGGGTCACAGCTTTTAAATTAGAAATAGAGACACACAGCAGAGACTTGCTCTACCTTCCCTCCAGCTTCTGAGGCAAACTACAGCCACCTGCTGCTCAGCAGTAACCAGTGGGAATTAACAACTCCAGAATTCCATTCAGCTTTGCTTTCAGCTGATAAGTATTAGAATCAGCAACTAATACTAGCTAAGAGTTTTAAAACATACCTATTTGCATACAACCCTTCTTTTTGTTTGGGGAACACAGCAGTTGAGACAAGATGAGACAAGAACCTGGAAAGTCTCAGGAAAAAAGTCAAGATAAACTACTAGGCTTGAGTTTTGCTAGAAAATTGTAACAGCTAACAGGAGTAAAAGGCAACCTTCGTCAATTGCCTCTAAACCCTGTTCAAATGTTACAAAGCAGAACTCAGTCAAATGGATTACTCCTGACTGAAGCACAAAAGTACCCTGACAAGGAGGGCTAGAGAGTTGACAGTGTAGAGCCAGATGAGACAAAACTTGTCAAAGATATCATAAAATAGTCTCTAAAAACAGAAATGAGATGCACACAATCTAAAGCAACAGATAAGACAAATAGGTGCACACTGGCAAGGAGAGGCCATCCATTGTGCCGCTCTGTGATAGAGGATAGGCCTAGTTATTGTCAAGATTTTTAACAAGCACAACAATAAAGAAGTGTTTTTTTTAGTCACAAAGCAAAGCCTGGAAGAAGGTCTCTAAGTAAACAAACATCTGGACATCAACAGCCACGCCAAACACTGATAAAAGGCAGTAATGACCTTAAGATTCAATGAGAACTTAATGAATTCAATGATACTATGATGAACAGCTACGAAATAATGGTGAAGATAAGCAACTTATATTTCTATGTTACCTTTTCTGTCAGTGGAAAGAAACAAACCAAAATCACTTTCTAACAACAGAGATTATAAGCTTTATAATAGTGTTTGGCTTGCAGAATGGCATTGTAGGGAAGCAACCGTAGTATTTCCATTACCTTCTGTTTCTGTTTTTCCAAAGCTACCTCCAGAGACTCTAACTGGAACTGTCTTTGCTGACGCTCCTTTTTAAGCTTGTCTACTTGACTTTCCAGCTCCTGAATCTTCTGAAGGACTCGGGGGGACAGGCCTTCCTTCCACTCCTCCACAACCCAGCTCATACTGACTGGGTTCTTCTTTTACACAGATGGATAGTAGCTATACCTGAAACAAAAGGAAGTACAATTAGACCTTGACAGACATCAAATAAGCCTCTTATTTAAATAAATTGCCTCTTTATGATGAGCAATAGTTAGAATTTAGTATTGTACAACCTCGAGTTGTAGGCCACCAAGAAGGGACTTTTACTATTAGGTCCTAATGAGACAGAAGCGTCAAAATAAGGTGAGATTGAGGAAACCCACCTTAATCAACCTCCCTGACAAAAGCAGGGTTTCTGTTCTCACAGATGCATGTCACTGACACCCTTCAGCAGCCGTTTATCAGCACCTTATCCCGATGCTCACACCGCATTACGCTCGCCTCTCGCCCAACACCGACCTGGCGGCGGTTACCTCAGCCCCTCCTCACGCAGGGACCACCATCAGCCGGAGCCCGTCCCAAGCTCCTGCGAGCCACACAACCCCGGGACTCGACCCGAGCAGCTCCCTCTTCTCCCCCCAGCCCCGCCTCACGGTTCGGAGCAGCACCGGCCGGCGGCAACAGCCGCCCCTCGCCCGCTCCGTGACAGAGCCCCCGTCCCCTGCCGTCCCGCCGCCGCCACCCAGCCGCCCTTCAAACCTGCCGCCGCCCCGCCGCCCGTTGGTGCGCCCCGGCCGCCGGCGCTCCGGGTTGGCCGCTTCGGCAGCGTTCAAACGCTGCAGGAGGAGGCGGGGCGGGGCGGGGCGGCGGGTAACGGCCGTGGGGAGGCTCGTCAGAGCGAGCTTTCAGTGTCCAGCCGGAACTCGTGGTTTGAAAAAGTGTCAAAAAATAGAAAGTATCCCAGCAGTGCCCCGGTGATAAACGGTTAATGAGGAATAAAGCCCTACAGAAGCTTTATGGAGTGGTTTAGAATCATAGAACCATTAGGGGTGGAGAAGATCTCCGAGAGCATCTGGTCCAACCATCCCCTTACCACCAATGTCACCACTAATGTCCCTAAGCACCCCCAGGGACTCTGACACCGTCACCTCCCTGATTCAGCTGCTCTTTGGTGGCTCTCTGAGGGATGGGAGGTCAACTCAGCCCGCTGCTGCACTTATTCTGCCCTAAAACAGAATCCTAGAATCATTAGGGTTGGAAAAACCTCCACAATTGTCTGGTCCAACAAGGGGACAACGCAATCCGTGGGGTGCAAATGGCAGGAAAAGTGGTTTGGGAAGGCCCAGGACCAGTATTGGACCTGAGCCAAAGGGGATCTTTCACATGATGGACAGGGAGGGAAGGAGTCAGTGAAACCGCTTTGACTTCTAAGACTGGTGGTGTTTTTTTCAGAAGGAGAGTAAAAGAGTAGAGACAGCTTTCAGGGTTCTGACAAGGCACAAAAAAAAAAAAAAAGCATCTGGTAAATGCAGAGCTTTTAAGGTGCAGTCTGATGAATGCCTGAATGTCCAAGATAAAAAAAAAAAAAATAAAAATAAAAAAAAAATAAAAAGACACCTGAGCACTGTTGTAAACTTAAAGACGTGTGAAGAGTTGTTCTGAAGCCTGTTCCTGGGAAGTGTCAAAATCATTCTGGGTTTCTGTGGAAAAAATGAATTCTTTCATATTTGACATCATTTATTTGATAATCCCTGTAATTAATTAACATGAAAGTTAAAAGTACTCGTGGAGGGCACAGAAACTTGCTTTTCTTTTGCTGTATAAACCATATTTTGCACAATAGTTTCATAAGTATTGCATTGTGTATATTAGCAAATGGAAGTAAAAGTAAGATACAAAACTACTAGCAAATGTAACATTGAAGTGTAAGATACAAGAATAACTCAAATACAATTACAAATAACTATTTATGAAGGGTGTTAGTAGTAACTATCAGCTTGCCTAACACTTTTAATTATTTCCATCACTTTCTGCTAGCTAGAATTCCTGAGGTCTTTCTAAGAGCCTCTCAGAATTCCCTGACTTGGAGCACCCCATGATTTTGAGGAGGGAGAGAACTAGTTCACAAGAGAGAACTTGTGAAGTGGCTTTTCTTTGTCCTTGAAATTCCATTCAGATCTTTCCAAATATTAAAAAACACTGTTTACTTTTCTCACCTGCACTCCTTACTATGATTTTGGGAAAAGGTGAAAATAGCAAGTAGAGTACAAAACACATTAAAGGTTGTATTCATATCCTGCAGCTTATGTCAGAGCACACAATGGAGGGGAAAGGAAAGGGGGAAGAAAAGGGGAGAGGAAAGGGGAAAGGACTTCTAATGAGAAAATCCCACTCTGCTTGGACACTACAAGGAGCAGAAAACAGATAGAGATTTTCCCCATATTCCACCCTGACAGACTTGGAATCTTTCAGGTAAAGCCTATTTCATGTGTGTCTGTGTGTGTGTATATATATATATTTACATATATACACACACGCACACTCATCAAAGAGCACCTGAGGAGCTGGAGCGTTCCCCTTGACCCAGACAAAGAAAGAAAGAAATGGGCCAGGCTCTTCACATCTGACGTGGTTGTAACTTCCCAGCTTTCCTGTCAGGCACTAGAGAGGCAAAAGCTCTGCCAGGCTGCCAGTGAAAGAAAAGAAAGACAGATCTTTTCCTTTAGCCTCACCCAAACCCCACCCTGTGCTAAGTGATGCGTCTTGCCTCCGGAAAATGAAATTTTCCATCTCTGCCAATGCGAGTAGGTAACTGAGAAGTTAGCAGTTTTGGTGTTAGTACTGGAGTGGCAAGGTTAAGTCTGCACCAATAAACCTCAGCAAGCAACTGTTGTAAACTACAGTGCTTGATTGGTCATATACCCTTGTTTTAACTTTATTCTTCTTCATAGGATCATGTTTCTCAACAGAACCCATACCCTATTCAGTGATCAGAATGAATACAAAGGCACCATTAGGATGCACTGAGAGCCTTAACACCTTTCATTAACTGTCTAGTTTTAAGCTCTCTGAAAAGGCTGAACTGACCTAAACATATTTTTTTTTACAGTTAATTAAGAAAACCAGAGACCACAGCATAGCACAAATGATAAACTACAGCTTTGTTCACAAAGGGAATGGAGCATTAATCTAGTGAGAAGAACTACAGCATTTCCTACCTCCTGAGGGAAACTGCTACTGAAGTGCTCAAAGTGACACCAGTGCTTGGGATGGATGTGCTAGTGGCTAGAATTCCTACAGCTGCTCTGTTTGGTGATCGCATCACTTGTGTAGCCTACTAAACACCAGTGGGTAGGTTTCCAAGGACTGCAGAGGTGACTGAGGTTAGCTGGCTTGTCTGAGGTGACATGGTGAATCACATCCAGGTGCTGGACAGGAACCCATGGGTGCGGCTCCAAGGCAGTTTAAAACACCTCAAGGCGATGTTGCCACATTCCTGCACTCCCTCCTGTTCCCCACCATGGCTTTGGTGCTCATCTGAGCTGCCAGGAGAGATGGTTAAGTGGATGAAGAGTGTAATGCTAGCCAAGGATCTTTCTGGTAGCATCAGCCTGTACACAGCTTGGGGCTCCGAACTGCTGCACTGTGCAATCGGGTAAGTGCCTGATCCAGCTCAACAGATAGAGCAGGGATATGCAGGTGAGAGTGGGCAGGACTGTGGTGACAACTTAGATCAGTCAAAATATTACACACCAAGACCCTAAGTTCCCGTGCTCTTATCCCTAACCCCTCACATAAATGATATCAAGAATTATTTTTTTCCATAGTAAATGCATTCATCAGAACTTGTGTGTTTTGCCGGGATAATACTATTTTACAGCTTCTGCTTTCATTTAAGTTTCTCTTGCATACTAAGAGCAATTACTCTGAATAATTTTCATCAAAGGAAAATATTCTCTGAACTTTGCACAGGATGTAGTGTTGCTGTGATTTTTTATAGTCTACAAACCTCTGCAGCAGTGATATCTTCTGAATTTAAAGCTGCTGAGCTGTTACACAGATGAGCACAGATTGTGCTCATTAGCACAAGCAATAGTAAACTTATTTAGCCATATAAATAATTGAAAATGAAGGGGAGTGTTAGTTGTTTAATGTTTGTTAGTATATTGGAAGGGTGGAGGAAGAAAGCAAACAGATAAAAGAAATGCTAATTAAAGTGCACACATACTGTCTTGACCTGAACAACTGTGATTTACAGCTATTGCGATGCTGTTACAGTAGTGAAAAGGTATTTATGCCTTTCCTCCCTGTTCTAAAACCATTCTTTGCAAGAGACTGAATACATCCATTAGCATAACACTTAGAGAACTAATGTGCACGTATATGAAGAAAATGATAAATAATTGCAGCAATTACATTATGATATGACACATCAAGTCTGTATTGTCTAGGGCTTCTAATTACCAGTTACTGAGCTGTAAATAAGATTGGAACTCTTTTCTTTTTTGTCTTAGTGGTGAATTCCCTCTTTTTGTATAATTCTGCTGCCACCTAGAAATGGCAATACCAAGCAAATCTTTCATACTACAGACACTAAACTTAAAAATATATTAATTGTACTATCAAATGGTGCAATATCTTACAGGCAAGTAGTAATCAGGTTTCAGGGGGCATTGGCAAGACAGGATTGTATTTTCTTTATGGCTCACTCCTCCCTGACTTTCATGGGTCCATAAATTGTACCTCCTTTGGCCCCTGTTTTTGTTAGGATTTTATTCTTAAATGTACTCAGGTACACCTACTCCAAGTATCATTTTGTTCAAGCAAAAGAAAAGTGATTAAGAAAAACTATAGTATACAAACTGCACTATACTAACTGCACTATATAAACTAAAAGGCATTCACCTTTCATAGCCATCTCTGCCTCATTCCATCTTTAACCCTCGCTTTTCTTCTTTAGTGAGGCATGTGGAAATTATATGCTGACATGTATATTACCTCTTTCTCTTGTTGGGACTCTCTAGATCGGTTTTTCTTTGGTTAATCTTCAGTAATTTCCTCTCCTTATCCTCTTTAACTCCTTTCTTCACTTTTTTTTTTTTTTTTCCAATTTCTTATTTCTGTTTTCCTTAAAGGCAGCTCTCACCATGATAGGTGGCCCTCATCTGCCGGATTGCCTTCAAAAGTCCGAGTTTTGCTTCTTCACCAATTCTTCTGTCCTCTCAAGTTCATGATCATTTGTCATGGCTGTCCTTGCTGTGTCTAATCTCCGTTTGAACATCCTGTTCCCATGAACTACCTACATTAAAGCCTTGAGCCTATACTCTGTTTCTCTTTTGTTATGGCTTATACATATGTGTGTGTGTATATGTATATATATATATATATATAACCTTTATTTAAATATACATATAAAACTCCTGTACTACTTTTATGTAGTTATTATCTGAAAATCTGTACTTGCTTTCTATTGTGTTCATCTACTGCTCAAATCTTTTATCAGTGAAACAATTAAGAATGTCACTTTACAGAGTTCATGACAAACTAACCAAAGCAGTTCTTAGCCTCTGCCTATCTTAATGCTGTCTCTAAAATCTTCCAATGTTTTCCTGTTAAAAGGCTGACGAGATAAGAGAAAAGTATGCCTTTATCTTACACACATCTTAACCACCTCAGCATTACTTCTGCCATTTTTGCAGGCAAGTTCTAGGGTGACTGAAAACTCGCTCAGCTAATTGCAGTGGGAAACCCAT